CCTACGTTTCCCAAACCCAAATCAAGCGGTTTGGGAATGCCTGCCCTGGAGGACACCGCAAATCGTCGATCACCACTCAACGGAAACTCGGGAGGCGTTGCACCCCAAATTCAATTTAGCCAAAGCCCAGCCTAAATTTGAACGAAAGCTCCGCCTCGCCATCCAGCCCAACGTCTCGAGCCGCCATCAGTGAGCGTCTCGTGCGGTGGCGGCTCGCAACCCGTTACGCGACAAGCAATCGAGTGAGCAATACAACGAGCCACGACGGGTCTCCAATTCGTTCTGACCGTTGCCGTCACTCCACTCGAATTCGCTCGCAGCGGCGTGGATGAAAGGAGCGCGAGGAAATGCAGTGACCAACCCTACCCATTCAATCCATCCCACGCAGCCTCCATGCACAAAACCATCAGCGTCCCTAGCGCAGTTCGTCAACCTCACTTACCCATTCCTTCGCTTCGCTGCCAATTTGTTACCTCATCGCCTCGTCCGCTTCTAGCAGGTGGCGTAAGCGTTCAGCATCTTTCCTCGCATTCGCAACTCCTGGTTGGCTATGTGCTGTGGTACTCGTTTCTCCCGCTTCCTGTCGTAACGAGAGAGGAGTGCCACCCCGACGCCGTAGGCTGTTGTCGTCTTTTATTCGCCAACCCTAAAGCTATCGCCATCTGTTCCAACTCAGTCAGAGATACTCCGTACAACGTGTCCGCAAGCCCCGCCAGCAAATCCTCAGACACGCCGTGCATTTGTAGCCAGATTTGGTAACCAGCCCGTGTTTTTACAATGGCGCCGGCGGAGTCTGCGATGATGCGCGCAAAGGAGAACCGCGTGCGACAGGCCGTAGAGACTAAGACCTCGTCGCCGCGACTGAAACGAACCATGGCTCCTCAGGTCGACAAGGTGAGCGACAACGACGGCGACAGATTTCTGACGAGGGAGGAAAACCGACCAGGGACGACCTACAACTGCAGCCAGGCTTGATCTTATGAACCGCAGTACGCAGTACACGTTACAAGTGATCTCGTTATTACGGTCAGTTCCAGCCTGTCATATGCAGGAAACGAGTCACTAAATCTCGGCGCCACGAACGGGCTAGTCTGACTTCCCAGAAGCCTCTTATCCTGGACGTGAGGCGATACTGAAAAGGATAGCCTTCGCAGTACTGCTTGAACAGCAACGCTTCTCGTCTACTAACGTCAAGAATCGGGAGCAGCGAGAAGCGCTGGTATTGACTCTTATCATACAGTGCTTGTGCAGAAAGGCAGTCGATTGGTAAACAGATGGACACGCGTCACGCACGCATCCCGTCTCTCGATTCGCCCACGCATGATCTCCATCTCTCTCCCTCCCGCCTTAATCTCCATCTCTCTCCCTCCCGCCTTAATCTCCATCTCTCTCCCTCCCGCCTTAATCTCCATCTCTCTCCCTCCCGCCTTAATCTCCATCTCTCTCCCTCCCGCCTTAATCTCCATCTCTCTCCCTCCCGCCTTAATCTCCATCTCTCTCCCTCCCGCCTTAATCTCCATCTCTCTCCCTCCCGCCTTAATCTCCATCTCTCTCCCTCCCGCCTTAATCTCCATCTCTCTCCCTCCCGCCTTAATCTCCATCTCTCTCCCTCCCGCCTTAATCTCCATCTCTCTCCCTCCCGCCTTAATCTCCATCTCTCTCCCTCCCGCCTTAATCTCCGTCTCTCTCCCTCTCTTGCTCCACGTTATGCGCGCCCAACAGCCGTCTACCTCGAGAATGCCGCTACAGATCAGCAACTCTATCGACGGCGCGACCACGCATTCCAAAGCCGCCGTCAGCGCCGCTTCCGCGCAAGCCTGTCCGCAAACGTCGGCTTCCAATCAATCGAAGCCAGAGGTACGTCTGCAATTCCCCAGTAGTGGAAGACGTCGCATGACACGTCGCATAAGACGTCGCTTATCATTCCGCGCGGAGGACCCGCCTCCACCCGCAAGGCTTAATTCATCTAATTCACCGCTCGTCTCAGCCCGTTTCTTACCATTCTCATTCGTTCCTCTGCTCTCCTTCCCGTTCCAAAATTTCCTGTCTCTGTACGCTCCTTCAGAGGGCAAGAGGCCCCGCTGCTTCCGTGCCGCCTTCCGCATCGACCGCGTCGACCGCATCAGCAGCAGCAGCATCGGCGTCGATTGGCGGGAGCGGAGAGGAGCACCGGTGGTCGTTAGAGGACTTCGATATCGGGAGGCCGCTGGGGCGCGGAAAATTCGGAAGCGTGTACCTGGCGCGGGAGAAGAAGGTGAGGCGGAGGAGGTGGAAATGGAGAAACGCAGAGGGCAATTTTTTTATTCAAGAAACTTCGTTTTCTCCCTCCACCGCTACTACTTCTCCGACGTTGTTTCCGAGCCCTTGGTTTCTCCCAATCGTGCTGCCTCTCCTCCGACTTTCGTTGCGCTCCGTCTCTACTCTTGTACTCGTCCTCATCTCTCCATGCCTCACCGCTCCTTTCCACCCTTACCCGCCCCTCCCCGCCCCTCCCCGTCCCTCTCCATGCCTCTTCGTGCCTCCCCGTGTCTCTATTCCTTACGTGCGCCTCTCTGGTCTTCCCTTTCCCCTGGGCAGAGCAAATTCATCGTGGCGCTCAAGGTGCTGTTCAAGAACCAGCTAATAAAGGAGTCGCAGGTGGAGCGATTTGAGACGTCTCAAAATTCCCCGTGTGTCGTACCCGCGTGCGCGCGTCTCCCTTCCCCGCGCGCGCGTCTCTGGTCCCCCCTTTCCCCCTAACAGAGCAAGTTCATCGTGGCGCTCAAGGTGCTGTTTAAGAACCAGCTGCAGGAGTCGCAGGTGGAGCACCAGCTGCGGCGCGAGATCGAGATCCAGAGCCACCTGCGCCACCCGCACATCCTGCGCCTCTTCGGGTTCTTTTACGACGAGGTGAGACCCGCACCGCGTCGCTGCGGGGAGATAGGCGCGCGAGACGATGATGATGATGGTGGTGGTGCTGCTGCTGCTTGCGCGTCTCAGTCGATTCTCCTCCCCCCGCGCAGCACGCCCACTCCCGCCCCCCAGCCCCTGATGGTGCTCTTTCCTAGTTCTCCCAGTTTCTCATGGAATTCCCCCCCCCCGTCTCGCGCGCGCGCTCTTCCCCCCTCTGGCAGAAGCGCGTGTACCTGATCCTTGAGTTTGCGGCGGGAGGTGAGCTGTACCGCGAGCTGCAGAAATCGCAGCAGTTCTCGGAGCAACGCGCCGCCACGGTACGGTGTCTCCTCCGCTGCGCTCTCTCCTCTCCTCTCCCGTCCTGTCCTCTCTGTTGATAACGATTTTCCACCCTGCCCGCCTGTTCGCAATGTTGCTCCCCTCACACACCGCATCCTGTCTCTTCTCGCAAACCCCTTCTCACCTGACTCCATCCCGCCCAAATTTACCCCACCCCACCCCACCCCGCCCCACGCCACACCTCACCCTTTCCCCCCGGCCAGTACATCCTGTCGTTAGCCGAGGCGCTCATGTACTGCCACTCGAAGCACGTCATCCATCGCGACATCAAGCCCGAGAACCTGCTGCTCGGCTCCGATGTAAGAGATGAGATTTTTCATATTAGCCGCCTCCCAAGCCGGCCCGCCCTGGCCCCGCTCAACCCGAGCATAGAACGAGCGACGCACTTCCAAGTTTCTTTGACTTGGTTACCTTCAATCACCACCCCCTTCCCTTGCTTCAATACCTCGTTTCCGCATAACAATTTCCTCGCGTCCGCTTCCCTTCTCGTTCGCTCTCCCCTCCACTCGCTCTCTCGCGCGCCCCCCCCCCCCCCCCCATCTCTCTCCTCTCCCCCCAGGGCGAGGTAAAAATCGCGGATTTTGGATGGTCCGTGCACGCTCCTAACTCGCGCCGCCAAACGCTCTGCGGGACGCTCGACTACCTTCCCCCAGAGATGGGTACGTGCAACGCACGAGCTGCTCAGTCTGCTGTTGTTTTCCTCCTCTCTCCTCGTATCCTTGCTATCTCTCCACATTCACTCACCGCTCTACCCTGCTACCTCTCCCCCGCCGTCCCGTCATCCTTTTCCTTCGCGCAGTCGAGGGCGCGTCGCATGATCGCATGGTGGATGTGTGGAGTCTCGGCGTTCTCACATACGAGTTTCTCTACGGAACCCCGCCGTTCGAAGCGCCTAACCACCCGCAGACCTACAAGCGAATCATGCAAGTGGATTTAAAATTCCCCGGCAACATCAAGGTGTCGAGCGACGCCAAGGACCTGATCCAACGGCTGCTGGTGAAGGAGCCTTCGGCGCGATTGGCGCTGAGAGACGTGCTCGTGCACCCGTGGATTCAGAAGTACGCGCAGCGGAAGCCTCGGGAACAGGCGCTGACGACTGTGGTGTAGTAGATAACCGATGGATGTGAGCGGATGAGAATGGATGAGCAGAATAGCAGCCCCGAGATTCATTGGCGATGATGACGTGGTTGAGGGGGAGTGGAGGGCTGCGCTGCGGCCGGCAGGTGTGACGGCTGGGAGTTCGGTTTTTGGAGCTGACTGGCGTCTGTACGCGTTGTTGCGGGAAGTGCAGTTGAGATTCGTCAACTAACTTGTAAGGCAGCTCGCTGGTGTGGTAAGGTTAGAACTTGTTAGCCTAGGTATTCGGGAACGCATCTAGCCAGCTGCCCTGCTGACTTAGTTATCTATCTTCCTAGTTACTTAGATTCTTAGCACGCCAAGCGTTCCAGGCTGGTTCCCTGGTATAGTTCAGGAATCAATCATGCATGCTTCATTGCATGGATGCCCCGAAATTCACGTTTCCAACAACACCAAACCTGGTCAGCATAACAAAATATACGGTATCTCTCCTAACCAATATAGTATTGATTATACTAATCCTGCCAAACCAGCAAGGAGTCAATATCCACCAAGGAGACTAAAAGCACACACACACACACATGATAAGTGGACTGCACATGCCCTCTATGCGGTATCTCTCCTAACCTCAATCCCGCCCTGGAGTGCACAAAACCAGGCCTAGTCTTCCTATTTTAATAAAGTGTCGCGTACTACTGCCCACCCTTCTTTTCTCCACCTAGCATGCTGCCTTTTCGGCCTCCGCCTCGGCCACCTGCTCCTCCTCTGCCTGTTCTCATGTGCACATACGTGGGCCTAGCAGGCCCAGGACTACCCCCGGCTGTTGCCGCTACTGCAGCAGCTCCTGTTGCTTCTCGTGGCCCTCCTCCTCTGCCTACTGGCCCACCACCTCTTCCCCCCCTTCCTCCCCCTCCCCCCCCTCCGCCCGCTCCTCCACCTCCCCCTTGCATGTCTCCTACTGGTGGGTCTGCCCCTCCTGTGATACCAGCCATCGCACTCACAGTCTCACCATACGCAGTAGAGCCCATGCCGTTCCCATACCCATTGCGCTCGTAATCCCCCATGCCATGCCACGAGCCTTGCCAGACACCAACAGACGAGCCCAAACCCATGCCCATGCCTATGCCCATGGTCACACCCGGCCTTGTGCTTATAGTGTGCACCATGCCGCCACCCATGCCCCTGGATATCACAGATGCAGACCCCCTACTAGAAGAGCCTGCTGCTCCTCCTCCTCCTCCTCCTGCTGCTGTCGCTGCTGCTGTTGGGGTGGGGGAGAGTGACGAAGAGGAGGGTGGTGATGGCGATGGTGCTGGTGGGGCAAGTGCTCCTGCCGCTGCTGCAGCTGCTGTGTCTGAAGCAGGGCCAGCCGCAACAGACCCGGCAGCAGCTGAAGCAGAAGCACTAGCGTTACCAGCAGCAGCAGCGGAATTAGCTCCATTGGTACTGGTATCAGCACCCCCTAGGGACCACCTCTGTTGCGCCGCAGCCAGGGAATCCCTCAGACTCGCAAGCCCAGGACCAACCTCCCCCACCGAAAGGCGCTCCTCGCCACCCGGTAGCACTTCCCTCAGGAATCGCAGCCCTCCACCCCCCCCACCATTACCTCCCCCCACTCCTCCGCCTCCACCCCCACTTCCTGGCCTTACCGCGTCCCATGGTGGCATGTGAGCAGAGAGGATGGAGAGGGGATGCGGTGGGTGCGAGGGCCGCACAGGGCTCGTGACCATAACATCGTACGTGGATGGGGGGAGATGAGATTGACGCAGGGGATGCGAGGCGAGCGGGAGAGGAGACTGAGGGGGTGGAGGTGCAGTGGGAAAAGGCAGGGACGGAGGGACGGATGAAGGGATGGACGGATGGAGGAATGGTGCCGAAGAATGAACAGCAGCAGGAGTGGGATCAGCAGGAATGGAATCAGCAGCAGCAGAATCGTCATCATCGGCAGCAGGAGCAGAAGAATTGGAGGCACAACCAACGGCAAGTGGAGCAGAAGAGGTGGCTCCAGCTATTGCTGCTGCTGCTGCTGCTGCTGCTGCTGCTGCTGCTGCTGCTGCTAGAGCAGGAAAGGCAGGCCCAGTTGCCAAGGCAGAGGCAGACGCAGACGCAGGGGCTGGTGAGAGAGGAGGGATGCAGGAGGGGTGAGAGAGGTGCTGGTGGGAAGGGATGCAGGGTGCCGGCGAGTAGGGTCGTGAGGAGGAGGAAGGATCGATGAGGCGGCGTCGCAGGCGGAAGGGCGGGGAGGAAAAGGCTTCTGGAGGCACAGAGAGAGCGTGCGCCATGTGCGTCTCATGGTGGGGCTGTACCGGGGAGGGCAGGAGGGGGGAAAGGGGGGGAGCAGAACAGGGAAATGAGCATGGAAGAGCAGAGAGAAGACAGAAAAGAACAGAACGCAGCGAACAGCGAGCAGCGGGCAGAGAGCAGAGAGCAAAGAGCAGAGAGAAGGAAAGAAGAGATCATTGCATACCAGCGGTTGGGGCTTCAGAAGCGAGGACGGTCTGGCAGGTGATGCTGCCACACTGAGTGCTGCAAAGGCAGGGCCCAGCGGAGAGAACTGCACGCTCTGGTTGCTTGCTGCCCCTCCGCCTCCCATTCCTGCTCCCACTTCTCCCACTGCCCCTATTGTCGCTCCCACAACATCCATTGCGTCCACTCCCCACCCTGCTCCCGCTCCTGCTCTTCTGGTGTTGGGTGGTGGCGTTGCTGCTACTTGTGCTGCTGCTGCTGCTGCTGCTGCTTCTAGTTGGGCCATACCAGCCTCTGCTGCTTGTTGAGCCGCTGCAAACTGTAAGCCAGCTGGCTGTGCTGTTGTTGGTGGCAACTTCAAGGTTGCTGACATGGCCACAGGGCGGAAGAGGGACGGCGGTGGGGATGAGAAGGTGCGGGGAGAATGCTTTCCTGCTGCACCAGCAACAGCAGGAGAAGCAGCAGCAGCAGCAAGAGCAGCAGCAGGAGCAGCAGCAGCAAAAGCAGCGGTATCAGAAGTAGCAGCTTCGGCGGCAGGTGAAGCGTGCGCTGTAATGGTAACAGCTGCTGGGTGGTTCCTGGTGCTAGGCACACGGTGAAGCCAGTCTATCGAGCTCGCTTCCATACACTCTGCCATATCACCAGCACCAGTCGCTGCAGCAGCAGAAGCAGAAGCAGCAGCAGCAGCAGCAGCAGCAGCAGCAGCAGCAGCAGCAGCAGCAGCAGCAGCAGCAGCAGCAGCAGCAGCAGCAGCAGCAGCAGCAGCAGCAGCAGCAGCAGCAGCAGCATCAGCAGCACCACCAGCACTAGCGTCAGCACTAGCAGCCGCATTACCAGAGTCACCAGCAGCTGCAGTCCCACCTCCCCCGTTCTCCCTCTTCTTACTCTTCTTCTTCAACCCGTCCCCACCCTTCACACGCCTGCCCTTCCCCTCCCCATGCTGCCCTTTACCTCTTGACCCACTGCTCTTACCCCCCTCTCGCTCCGCTGCATTCTGTTGCGTTTCCACCACCATATCTTCTCCGTAAGAAGCAGCAGCAGCATTGGCAGCAGCAGCAGCAGCAGCAGCGGCGGCGGCGGCGGCGGAAGCTGCAACGTTATTAGCAGCTTCGCTGCTGCGATCAGAGCCCATACTGTTGCCCTTCCCGCCTGTACCATCAGCACCAGCAGAGTCACCTCGCACACTAGCATCATCATCAGCAGCAGCAACAGCAGCAGCGGCAGCAGGGTGCGCGGAGATGGTAAGAGCTAGGCTAAGCTGAGGCGACCCAGCAGCCACCACTGGCACTGATGCCCCTGCTGCCCCTGATACTGCTGCTGCTGCTGCTGCTGCCGCGGAAGCTGCTGCTGCTGAGCCTGGTACTCCAGCCACCGTTGCGTTCCTCCCCAGCCTACGACTGCTGCCATCTCCAGCACCACCAGCCGTGGCAGGGAAGAGACTGAGAGACCGGGACCTAGGCCAGTGCGACACCACTGGGTTTGACAACAGCGAGTGTGATGGCACTGGACCGGCAGCAGCAGGAGCACGAGCAGCAGTAGCGAGCGCGGAAGTGGGCTGTGCAGGGAAGAGTGGAAGCGGAGAGGCTTGAATCGACCCATCCAGTGCACAGCCCCCGTCAGATTCCCTTTGGTCCATGTATGCGCCCTCTGATGCCCCTGCTTGCTGCCTCTCGTGACTCTCTTGCCTCTCATGCCCCATTTCCTCCCCTCCTGGTCTTGTTCCTGACCCTGCCGCTGCTGCTGCAAGTAAATCTGCTCCCCTTCCTCCTACTCCTGCTCCTCGTCCTGCTCGTGCAGCAGCTGCTGCCGCAGCCGCTATTTTCGAGGGGCTGACCATGAGAAACGAATCGCTGCGACGGCGCCTTTTCCGCAGAATAGACGGGAGTCCCCCCCCTGCCCCGCCCACTCCCGCTGCCAACGCCGCCGCTGCCGCCACCGCAGCCATCGCGGCAGTGGCTCCTCTCGCTCCCACGTCACCACCCCCCCTTCTGGCCCCTCCGGACGCGGAGCGGCGGCCGAGACCATCCAAAGAGAGCGAGGGGGGCGTGTAAAACAGCGCATCGCCTACAGACGCGTCGGGCGACAGGCTGTTATACGGATGCACGCTGCGAGCTTGCGTCTGGGAGCTCCCAGGGGCGGAACCCGTGCCACCCGTGCCCTGACTGCTGCTGCTGGCTAGCGACGGGCTGCCAGACGAAAGGCCAGCAGACGATGGTGGTGCAGTGGGTGCTGGATACGGGTACGAACCATACGGACCGGCAAGGGCAGCAGGTGCGGATGCAGGGGAACCTGCTGTGAACGCGGCAGCTCTGGAAGCAGTGGCTGGTTCAAGAATCGATGCAGCAACACCGCCAGGAGCAGCAGCCGCAGGAGGAGGAGCAGGACCACCAGCAGCAGCAGCAGCGGCGGCGGCGACAGTAGCAGTAGCAGGGTTGGTAGGGAGAGACGCTGCGGCAGAGAGGGGAGAGAACGGGGCGAAGGGAGAGTCGGGGGCGGAGGAGGCGGCAAGCTGCATTTCATTGACAGCGCGCATGGCAGCAGCGAATAAGATCTCCGCGTCTTGCATGCTCTCCTCCACGCCACACAACCCCACCGCCTCCTGCACCTCGCTCCCCCTCCGCTTCACTCCCCCACACCCTCCCCCTTCACCAACACCCATATCGCCTCCTCTCACCCCCATCGCCACGCCCATCGCTGCTCGTTCCATTTGTTCAGCCTTCATCCCTCCTCCGGCGGTCCCTGATTCCCCTTTCCTTGCCCCCTCCCACTGCGCTTCCCCTTGGCGCACGTCATTCCGCTCATCCATCCGCAGATCTATTCCCCCCCGCTCCACGCGCCCGTCCGTCCGCCCGTCCAGCTCCGCTCCGCCTTCGTCCGCCAATCGGCTACTTGCCCCAGCCTCTCCCCCCACTTTCCCCCTTTGCGCCTCCCTCTCTCCGCCAGCTGCCTCACCCCCGACAGATTCTCGGTCACTTCTCCCTCCGCGCATCTCTCCGCGCTGTCCGCGTGTGCCGCCGCTGATCCTGCGCCCTTTCTTCCCCTCTCGCCCGTCAACCTTCCTCCTCGCCTCGTTCTCCCGCTCCAACCCGTTGGCTCGTCCGCTGCTGCTCACCCCTCCCCCGCTGCTCGCTCTTTCGCTAATACGCTCCGGCCTTGCAGCAGAACCGGGTCCATCGCTTCGACACGTGGCATTTCCGCCGGAAGCGCCGCTAACTCCCGTCATCCCGGCGTTTGCCACCCTCGCAGCAGTTGCTGCCGTGGCTGCTTCAGCTGCGGCAGCAGCACCAGCCGTTCCGTTCCTTCCCCCGTCATCAGCTCCACGCGTTAGCGACGCAAAACCCGTGGCATTTCCGGCCTTACTCCCACCACCACCACCACCACCATCACCACCATCACCATCAACACCTCCTATAACCAGTCCCATCTCCGCGCCCAACGTTTCATTCACAACCGTTCCCTTGACAACTGGGCCTAACTGCGCTAACCGTTCCGCCGCCTGCGCTCCGTCCGCCGCCCCCATGCCCGCGCGGGCGGCGTCCGCGCAAGAGCTGTCGTCCGCGATGTCTGCTTCCGCAGACAAGGCGGAACGTCCGGAGGAAGATCTGGCTGGAAAGAACCGGTCACAGAGCGTGAAAGGGAGCGATCTGGAAGCAGACGGATCGGCCTCGATGAGAATCATATAGACGCGCGGATTGGCTGCGGATGTCGAGCGACGAAACACATGCCATAGAAACGGGTAGACGGAAAAAGAGGGGAAAATATTAGAACGAAACGCAAAAAATCGCGAGGGAACGAGCCCGAAGAGAATTGGAAATAAAGGTCTGCTAGAAATGACAATGAGTTGGATCGTGGATGACAACACATGATGCCTGGCGCTAACTGCTTACACCCGTGTGTCCTGGTCAGTTGCAACACAACCACCTACAAACAGGACGGTTCTAGGCAGGCCTTTTCAAGAAAACAAGCATGCAGATCCCATAAATCTTCGTATGACAACAAGATGGGAGAGAGTAAAATGGACTTCGAAGGATCTGGCGTATGCAGGCGACGGTAGTTTGAGCGGTATGCAGAACTGAGGAAAGACAAAAGATAAATACATAGATCCGCTTGTCATATGCCTGCGGAAGAGCTGACGTCAGATAGAAAGACGAAAGAGAATGAGAAGGGTGGGGAGGAGACATGAAGTAGTAGGCGATGTGAGCTACACTGCATACCTGCCTAGGATTGAGCGTCCAGGAAGAACGGATAGGCCGAGCACAAATGTCCAAAGCTTGCTTATAACGAAGAGCTGATTGTAAAGGAGCACGAGAATACTGAGACTGATGTGGACACTCCGCCTGAGAGGTACGCGAACCTATTCTGAGAGCTTGGTAGCTAACTGCACTATCCATTCAGGGATCAGGTACAGCATAACGTGAGGTAGGCCGTTGAAGTAAATATTGTGAAACCTAGCGCAAGGAAATAGGGGAATTATGAAAAAAACGGTTGGTTCCAGGCGTTACATGTCGAAATAGGATCAACAATCGGCAACTAGGCTCGACTACAATCAAATACTTAATTTCACTCGCGTGATTAGCCTTAATGTTAACACAAGACGTTCAGCGAAGAAAAGGTTTCCCACAGGCAGCGGATGGGAAGCTGTACACGTCGAGATAAAGAAATGGTCAATTCAGTAGAACTGGTGGTGTGGCTTGACTGTCACAGCACAACAGAGATAATGTCGTGGGAGAGCGAGTGGTGGTGAAAGCTCGGTGTGTACAGCACGAGGAAGGGAGGGTATGGAGGGGTTGGAGGGGATGGAGGGGAATGGAGGGGATGGAGGGGAGGAAGAACAAACAAGACGCTGAGCGGGAAAGGGTGGGTGGGGGGAAAGGATGGCAGCAGGATGTGGTGGAGAATGTGGTCTGGGTCAGGTACGGGTTGGAGATGTTCGGTCCGGATGTAGGGTCCCGCAGGCGGACAAACCTCGAGGGAGCGCAGTGTGCCCGCGGAAACGTGAGCCCGACGGCACCTGGGTTAGTCGGGGTTGTGGTGAAGACGTTGGCGGAGCGGAGGCGGGAAAGCGGATGGGCGGAAGTAGGGATGGGTTGTGTTATGAGAAACACAGGCATTAGTGGGAGGTGGGATCAGGTTTGGGTAGGGAATCGGGCTTGCGGGGGAGGGTTTTGATCACTGACAAATTTGCTGAACGGGCGGACAGGAAAACGAGCCACTCTGACACAGATGCCAACGTGGCAGGCCAGGATGCAGGACACCACTGAGGAACCCTGCGGGAGCGACCTGCAAATCGGGCGTGGGCTGCAGCAGAAATGTTTTTGTTCGAATTGTTGCAGGCTTCACTTCACCTGCCATGGCCAGAAGTGATTGCTGGCAGAAGAAGGGAGACGTCACGGGGTGCTCAAAAGTATATACAGTAGACGTGCACTCATTTCCAGTTTTCAGGTCAAGCATGCGGATTTTCTCAAGATTGACCCACAAAGCAGCTTTGACTGGCTGACTCACTGACATGTCAGGTGGGGTCGGCGTTATGAAGTCCCTAGGAGAGCTACACGCGCCGCGCTCCTAGTCGTTCAAATCTCAGCCTCTTGTTGAGAATTGCATTCAGCGAACTCGGAGCTCGAGTGTTCGTGCAAGGTTTATAACGAGTCGATTCTATACAAGCCTTGTTGGGATTGTGGTTAGGACGTGGATGATTGTAGACGCTAATGATACTCCTTAAGTTTTATATCCATATTTATTAGAGAAAATAGTCGTCTCATAAATTTGATCTCGTACCACTCTTTTGAATTCACTCGTTATTTTTGAAACCTTTCACATCTGCTAGTCCCTTCGCAAGTAAGTTCTTCCTTGAATTCACCCTTCGAGTTCATCGTGTCAGCGCTATCACCTTCTTAGAGCGGCATACACTGACAACTTCGAGAGTATCCTCACCTCACATTCTTTTCCGTGCTGTTGAGTCATGGATTCTGTCTTATGGCCGCCTACCGCGTTTCGCGATCGTTTGCCTGAATGGTTCAACGCTCTCTTCCCACAGAATCCCGCCATGGCAACGGCGCGCGAATGCGAAACGACTGAACAAGCCGAGGACTCGCTCTGGTCCATCCAATCGCACTACCTGTCGCACGTCCAGTCGCAGCAGCGTCAGCAGCAGCGTCACGCTACGCCACAGTCGCAAGGCCTACACGTAGGCATGGTGCTAAACGTCCCAGCGAGTGGGCCTGTTGAGGAACGCAGCAGGCGGCGAAAATCTCGAGTGCCGCAGCGTCGCTCCGGTCCTGGCGCGGATCCTCTTCCTAACGCGTACAAATCTGGATCGGCGGCAGCGCCGGTTAGGTTCCGCCCATACCCACCCCCGTCGCCGACGTCGTCCGAGGAAGCGCATGCGCGGCGCGTCCTTGCGGAAGCGATGGCGCGTGATTGGCAGCATCCGAATAGCGGCGGAGCGATCGTGGTGGGTGGAGAAAAGGATGAGATTAATTCGATTGTTCCCGGTCAGGTGGTTTCTGAGTTGGAATTGTCGCGCCCTGGGGGAGAGGAGGCATGCGCGCACGAGCGGCAGGGTTTTGGCAGCGCGGTAGCAGGCGTCGTATGGCAGGGGGAAGGCTCGGCGGAAGGAGCAGCAGAAGGCTCAGCGGAAGGAAGAGCAGAAGGCGCAGCGGACGGAGCAGCGGAAGGAGGAGCGGAAGGAGCAGCGGAAGGAAGAGCAGAAGGCGCAGCGGAAGGAGCAGCGGAAGGAGGAGCGGAAGGTGCAGCGGAAGGAACAGCTGAAGGCGCAGCGGAAGGAGCAGCGGAAGGAGGAGCGGAAGGTGCAGCGGAAGGAAGAGCAGAAGGCGTAGTGGAAGGAGTAGCGGAAGGAGGAGCGGAAGGAGCAGCGGAAGGAGCAGCTGAAGGCGCAGCGGAAGGAACAACGGAAGGCGCAGCAAAGGGAGCGGCGGAAGGAAGAGCAGAAGGTGCAGCGGAAGGAGTAGGGGGCGGCACACGGGGAGGAGAGGCGGGCTGTGAGGCGGGGACTCCCCAGCAGGAGCGGATGCAGGCGAACGGGGAGGGGGGGTCGAGCGGGGGAGCTGAAGGGGATGGAAGCAAGGAAGAAAAGGGAAGGAAGGGGGCGGGTGGGGGAGACTTGAGCGAGCAGAGCGATCCAGGTACAGGCGGAGACATGCACACAGGCAGAGAGGCGGCTGAGATTGGCTTTGAGGTTACGGATGCGAATGAGAGTGATGGTGACGGTGCAGGCGGTGGGCTGTTCGGCGGGATACTGCTGTGTTCTCTGCAACCGCAGGATTTCACTCTGAGTGCTCACCTGAGGGAGGCAGCAGCACTGCAGCGGCAGCAGCAGCAGTAGCGGCAGCAGCGGAATCAGCAGCTGCTGCTGCCTGAGCAGCAGGAGAAGCAGGAGGAGCCGCAGAAGCAGCAGCAGCTGGGTAGGGGCAAGCGCAACTGTCCTGGGAGGAGTGACAACAGGAAGTGGGGACGAGTGGGATGGCAGCTTTGGAAGGGGGGCCGCTTGATTTGTGGTCACGGAAGAGAACGGAGGGAGGGAGGAATGAGCATGGAGAGGAAAGGGAGGGAGAGCAGCAGGTGAACGGGAAGCGCAAGAGGGAGGGTGTTTGCGAGGAAGAGGAGGAGGAGCCGGCGGAGGAGGGGGGGAAGGAGAAGGAGGGGGAGGAGGGGGAGGAGGGGGAGGTCGAGGAGGAGCATGAGGAGGAAAAGGAGGTTCCGGTGGAGGAGGAGGAGGAACAGGAGGAGGAGGAGGAGGAGGAGGAGGAGGAGGAGGAGGAGGAGGAGGAGGAGGAGGAGGAGGAGGAGGAGGAGGAGGAACAGGAGGAGGAAGTCGAGGGGAAGGAGGTAGAGGAGGGGGGAGAGGAGGCGGAAGAAAACAAGGAAGAGAAGGAAAAGGAGGAGGTAGAGCAGGAAGCGGAAGTGAAGGAGGAGATGGAGGTTGTGGGGTGGAGAGTCGGAGCAAGGAGACGCAAGCTTGTTTCACTGGCTTTTGTGTGCTCGCGAGCCCACGAGAGGACACGGAGTGACCGAGATGGGCTCGAAAGGGTTGAGGAAAGGGAGGGTGGGGGAAGTGCTATTGTTGGAAGGGGAGGAGGAAGAGACAGGGGAGGAGGAGGAGGAGGAGGAGGAGGAGGAGGAGGAGGAGGAGGAGGAGGAGGAGGAGGAGGAGGAGGTGGTGGTGGTGGTGGGGGGGGGGGGGATGGGAATGGAGGTAATGGAAAACGAAAGGATAGAGGAAGAAGGAAAAGACTAGGAGAACTGGGTGGTGGAGAAGTGTGGGGGGGGGGCAAGAGGGATGTGCCGAGCGTGGCGGTGAGCAACAGGGAAGGCGAGGAGAGCAGGTTGAGCAGGAAGAGCAGGGTGGATGTGGGATTGCGAGGGCATGTGGAGCGAGGTGAGGGTGGGGAAGGGAACGAGGTACAGAAGAGTGGTGGGATTGGTGGGACTCGTGGGACTGGTTCGACTGGTGGAGAGAGAGGTGGGAGGGAGGGAGCTGTGAGGGGGAGGAAGATGGGCAAGGGAAAGCTGGATGTGGGGAGAGAGGCGAAGAGGAAACGTTTCAGAGCTGTGGGGAGCGTGAAGGGGAAGTTTGTGAGGGAGAAGAGGAGAGGGAGGGAGAGGGGTAAGGGTAGGGAGGGGAGAGAGGAAGGGGAAATTTGCTCTAGGAAGAGGTGGAAGCACAAGGGGAAGTGACAGAGCATGCACCTGTGGCTTCGTGTCTTTGGTGTTGTTGGAGTGAGGTGCAACAAGAGGGGGAAACCGTGGACATGTACTAATACCGGTAGTGTGCTCAAGAGGGGCCGTATCAGATGGTAGAGAAATGCAATGCCTGAGTGAATACTTTGCGCATATCGTGTTCCTTCTGCTGCAAATTCTAGTGATGTACAGTCTGATACAATGGTAGCAATGTGAGAATAGTCTGAATGCAGGAGAGAGATGGATAAAGTTATACAAGCTTTGGTGTACTTGTAGGTACCGATAAAATCACACACGAAGTTGAGTCGCCGAGATTGATGGTGAAGATGCCACTATCGCGTCGATGTTCTGATCCGCTTGTCGCATTTCACTCACCCCTTGCTCGTATCGCAGTCAGTCGTTCCGTCGACAACGGGAACGACGGAAGGAAAGCAGACCGAAGGGTTCGCGTTACGAAGAAATTTCATATATTTCGGCGAGCCGCGGTTGTTCCGTTTCATATAGTTTATTCGCCACTCGCTAAATCGGTGAAATAGTTACGCGCAGCGTAGCGCAGGCAGCCAATCCGCAGCATGGCTGACGTGGACCCGACCGTATGGGTGCTTCTAGTGGTGGCGATGCTGCTAATGGCCGCCGGAGCGGCGTCGTGGCTTGTAGCGTCGTCCAGAGCGACTAAAGACCCTGGCGCTAAGAAACGGGTAGGTTGCACCGGGCCACGCGGAGCGGCGTCGCAGGCGCGGCCGCGGATAGAGACTTTTGGGGAATGAGCGAGGGAGACGGGGAGGGGGAGGGGGGAGGGGGCAGGGGGAGGGGAAGGGGAAGGGGGAGGGTTATGCGAGGAATACTCCGGTGGAGGCTGGGTTGTCGCACGAATGAACTGAAGTCGATTCAAGTCGATTCTTCGAGACATAATTCCAAACGACCTTGTTCCCCTTCCTGATCACCTCGCGCATTCTCCCCCCCTGTTCCGCCGCGCAGGCGGGCGACGAGGAGGAGGAAGCGAAGGCGGCGGAAGACGGCGCGGCGACGGCGGCGGGTGGTCGGCGGAGAGGAGGCGGAGCGGCGGTGGCGGGAGGGGGAACGCGGGGAGGGGCCGCGCGGATGCGGATGCGGAGAAACCGACAGGCGGCGGCGGCTGCTGCGGCGGAAGATGAGGGGAATGCGCCTCGGGAGCGGGGGGGAGGGCGGAGGGAGGAGGAGGAGGAAGAGGAGGAGGAAGAAGGGGGAGCGGGAGCGGAAGGTCGACGGGATCGCAGGAAACGAGAAAGAGAGGCACGGAGACAGGTAGGAAGGAGACAGGTAGGTAGGACGATGAGAGAGCAGAGAAAGAAAGAGAAGAGAACGAGAACGAGAAGGACCCTCAGTGCAAGACGAAGAGAAGGACATTTCTCCCTCCTTGCAAGATCTCATTCTCTTGCTCTCTCATCATATCCCCCCATCTTCCTTCCTTCCCACCCATGCAACCCCCATTCTTCCATTCCTACGCCCCCCCACGTCCCACGCCCCCCCAACTCCTGCCCGTGTGGACCCCCCTGCCTGCGCCCTCCCTCGCTTGTCACTCTTTCGCTTCTTATAACCACCCGTCCAATGAATGTTCCCTCTCTGGGGGGAATTGTCAGTATTGCTGTATTTTTACGCAACCCCCTCCCCTCCTCTCCCCTCCCCTCCCCTCCCCTCCCCTCCCCTCCCCTCCCCTCCCCTCCCCTCCCCTCCCCTCCCCTCCCCTTCCCCCCCTGCGCCTCTTCCTCAACAAACCCAACCCAACCACCTCCTCCCCCCCTTCCTTTCCTCCCCCGCTGCAGTGCATGGGAGTGCGTTATGCCCCTTACTCTCCTCGCCTCCCGGACCTTTTTCCTTTCTCCCCTCGCTCCTCTCGCTCCCCTCGCTCCTCTCGCGCTTGTCTTCATGGAATATCAGTTTCTCCGAGAACTTTCAACGCGGCTGTACTTCTGGTGCTTGTGCATGTGCATGTGCATGTGTGCGTGTGTGCGTGCGTGCGTGTGTGTGTGTATGTGTGTGTGTGTGCATGTCTGTGTGTGTGTGCGTGCGCGCGCGCGGGTGTGCGTGTGTGTGCGTGTGCGTGTCTGTGTGTGTGTGTGCCTGTGCATGTGTTCCATGTGTGTGCGCGTTTGGACGTGTGTGACTGCATGCACGTGTGCATGTGTGTGAGCATGCGTGTGGGCAACAGGCGGAGGCAGCAGCGCGGGAGGCGAAGGAGGAGAAGAGGGATGCATACGCGGAGAGGCAGAGGCAGAAAGAGGCAGAGAGGGAGGCTGAGGAAGCAAAGAAGGTCCGTGCCCAACGGCTGGTGATGATTGGTGGGTGGGGGCGGTGGGGGTGATGATGACTGGTGCTGATGATGGGTGGTGAGGGTGGGTGGTGGCGATGGGGGTGGGGGGGAGTGGTTAAAGCGACGAGACGAGATGTGGGATGCAAGGGGTTGAGCTGATTATCTTGGGGCAAGTGGCTCTCAGGGCCAGAGAACCAAAGAGGTGACTTTTGAGTCGACTCAAAAGTCACCTAGCTGATCATATTGGGCAAGTGGCTCTCAGGGCCAGAGAACCCAACCACCAGAGCTTGGAGCATCCATGATGAGCTTGGAGCATCCATGAGCTTGGAGCATCCATGTGTGGGTGGGGCATGCATCTCTAATGAGGACCCCTGTGAGCATAAGCCTCTTTCTTTTCTGAGTCGTGGAAGGAAGGAGAGGGCACCGCACCATGCAGGGCGACGAGCAGCAGGAGAGCCAGCCAGAGGCTTAGGGCTCCTCTTTCCTCCTCTCTTCTCTTATATCTCCCTAGTCTCCTCCCCTCCCATTGCTCCGCCTCAAACCTCCCTCCCACTCTCCCCCTTCCCTCCTCCTTCTCTCCCCCGTCCCCCCCCGCCCCTCATCTTTCCCCCTCCCCCTTCACCCCCCACCTCCCACCCGCAACAGGCGCAAGAGGCGGCGGAGGAGGAGGAGCGGAGGCAGAGGGAGGCGGAGGCGGAGCTGGAGTCGTGGAAGGGGATGTTCTCCGTGGAGGGGGAGGGCACGGTGGAGGGGGACGAGCAGCAGGAGAGCCAGGGGCTGCTGGGGGAATTCACAGACTACATCCGCGTGAGTGGGGTGGGAAGGAGGGAGAGGAGGGGTGCGGTGCGGGGAGGGATGGGGGAGGGAGGTTGGTAACCGGGAGCCAGGAGAGCCAGGGGCTGCTGGGGGAATTCACAGACTACATCCGCGTGAGTGATCTTTCTTTTAGGCGCTTCGAATATTGCATTTCGAGGCGCCTCAATCATAACTAGCTACTAGGGGAGTTCACAGACTACACCCGCGTGAGTGGGGTGGATGGGAGAACAGCGAGGGGAAGGGGGAGGGAGGAGGGGAAGGGGAAGGGAGAGCCCCATTGGGGGTGTAAGTTGGGAAGAAGAAAGGTGGGAGGGAGGGAGAGGAGGGGTGCGAGAGTGAGTGTACTGGGGTGATTTGGGATGTGGAAGGACACACATGGGAGGCGGAGGCGGAGCTGGGGTGTGCCCCGTGGCCCGTAACCTCCGCACCGGTTACCATAACGCACCCGTTACCATAACGCACCCGTTACCATAACGCACCCGTTACCATAACGCACCCGTTACCATAACGCACCCGTTACCATTACGCACCCGTTACCATTACGCACCCGTTACCATTACGCACCCGTTACCATTACGCACCCGTTACCATTACGCACCCGTTACCATTACGCACCCGTTACCATAACGCACCCGTTACCATAACGCACCCGTTACCATTACGCACCCGTTACCATTACGCACCCGTTACCATAACGCACCCGTTACCATAACGCACCCGTTACCATAACACACCCGTTACCGAAACGCACCAGTTACCGTAACGCACGCGTTACCATAACGCACCCGTTACCATAACGCATCCGTTACCATAACGCGTCCGTTACCATAACGCAACCGTTACCATAACGCACCCGTTACCATAACGTACCCGTTACCATTACGCACCCGTTACCATAACGCACCCGTTACCATAACGCACCCGTTACCATAACGCACCCGTTACCATAACGCACCCGTTACCATTACGCACCCGTTACCATAACGCACCCGTTACCATAACGCACCCGTTACCATTACGCACCCGTTACCATAACGCACCCGTTACCATTACGCACCCGTTACCATAACGCACCCGGTACCATAACGCACCCGTTACCATAACGCACCCGTTACCATAACGCACCCGTTACCATAACGCACCCGTTACCATTACGCACCCGTTACCATTACGCACCCGTTACCATAACGCACCCGTTACCATAACGCACCCGTTACCATAACGCACCCGTTACCATAACGCACCCGTTACCATTACGCACCCGTTACCATTACGCACCCGTTACCATAACGCACCCGTTACCATAACGCACCCGTTACCATAACGCACCCGTTACCATAACGCACCCATTACCATAACGCACCAGTTACCATTACGCACCCGTTACCATTACGCACCCGTTACCATAACGCACCCGTTACCATAACGCACCCGTTACCATAACGCACCCGTTACTATAACGCACCCGTTACCATTACGCACCCGTTACCATTACGCACCCGTTACCATTACGCACCCGTTACCATAACGCACCCGTTACCATAACGCACCCGTTACCATTACGCACCCGTTACCATTACGCACCCGTTACCATAACGCACCCGTTACCATAACGCACCCGTTACCATAACGCACCCGTTACCATTACGCACCCGTTACCATTACGCACCCGTTACCATTACGCACCCGTTACCATAACGCACCCGTTACCATAACGCACCCGTTACCATAACGCACCCGTTACCATAACGCACCCGTTACCATAACGCACCAGTTACCATTACGCACCCGTTACCATTACGCACCCGTTACCATAACGCACCCGTTACCATAACGCACCCGTTACCATAACGCACCCGTTACTATAACGCACCCGTTACCATAACGCACCCGTTACCATAACGCACCCGTTACCATTACGCACCCGTTACCATTACGCACCCGTTACCATTACGCACCCGTTACCATTACGCACCCTTTACCATAACGCACCCGTTACCATAACGCACCCGTTACCATAACGCACCCGTTACCATAACGCACCCGTTACCATTACGCACCCGTTACCATAACGCACCCGTTACCATTACGCACCCGTTACCATGACGCACCCGTTACCATCACGCACCCGTTACCATCACGCACCCGTTACCATAACGCACCCGTTACCATTACGCACCCGTTACCTTTACGCACCCGTTACCATTACGCACCCGTTACCATTACGCACCCGTTACCATAACGCACCCGTTACCATAACGCACCCGTTACCATTACGCACCCGTTACCATTACGCACCCGTTACCATAACGCACCCGTTACCATAACGCACCCGTTACCATAACGCACCCGTTACCATAACGCACCCGTTACCATAACGCACCCGTTACCATAACGCACCCGTTACCATTACGCACCCGTTACCATTACGCACCCGTTACCATTACGCACCGGTTACCATAACGCACCCGTTACCATAACGCACCCGTTACCATAACGCACCCGTTATCACTACGCACCCGTTACCATAACGCACCCGTTACCATAACGCACCCGTTACCATAACGCACCCATTACCATAACGTACCCGTTACCATTACGCACCCGTTACCATTACGCACCCGTTACCATAACGCACCCGTTACTCACAAACACCTTCTCCCGCCCTGCTTCCCTCCCATCCCCCCTGCCATCACAGCGCCACAAGTGCGTGTTACTGGAGGACCTGGGAGCGCGCTTTGGGCTGCGAGCGGTGGTGAGTGGGGTGGGAATGGCGGGCGGGAAGGGGAGGCGTGTGTCAGGACAGGATTGCTGCTAGGGTGCTGCTAGGGTGCTGCTTATGGGTTGGCCGTTAACACATGTGATGCCTCATATGAACGTTCTGAGATGTCTCAAGAGTGTGTGATGTCCTGTGTGAAAGTGGTTGCCCGTTAACACATGTGATGTAGCAGAGGTTGTCTCATGTCTCCATCCCCATGTCCTCCCTTCCTCCCCTCTTTGCTGCGTCGTCCCCCCCTGCCCTCTTTTGCTCCCGCTTCCTGACAGGACGTGGTCAACCGTGTCATCTCCCTCGAGCAAATGGGTACGTGCACTGCGGTGGGTTGCGGTGCTATGCAGTATTGTGCTGTGTGGTGTGGTGCGGTTCCGTGCTGGGCTGCGCTGTGCTCTTGCTCCTCTTCTTCTGTACCTACCTCTCTGCCAGCCACTGCCTCTCCCCTCTTCTTCTCCTCCCCCCCCCACCCACCACCACAGGGCGTATATCGTGAGTGATGGACGACCGAGGCAAGTTCCCCCCTCCTAAAACCAACCCCCCCCCCCTCTCTTTCCTCCTCCCCCTCCTCTCTTCCTTCTCCCCACACAGGGCGATATCAGGAGTGATGGACGACCGAGGCAAGCTCATCCTCCACAGGGCGCATATCAGGAGTGACTCATAATCTGTTTTTGAGTCGACTCAAAAATATCAGGAGTGACTCATAATCTGAGTCACCTCAAACAGTGAGTCGGATTTCCACCCTCCCACCCCCCTTTCCCTCTTCTCTCCCCCATCAACAGGGCGCATATCGGGAGTGATGGACGATCGAGGCAAGTTCATATTCATCTCCCCAGACGAGATGAAGGCTGTAGCGAGTTACATCCGGGCATCGGGGCGGTGTGTGATGCGGTGCTGTGCCATGCGGTGCAGTTCTGCGCTGCGCTGTGCTGCGCTGTGCCGTTCCTTCCTCCTTATCAGTACCTACCTCTCTGCCACTGCCTCTCACCTCTTCTTCTGCTGCTGCCCCTCCTTCTCCCCCGTCTCCCCCCCACAGGGCGCATATCAGGAGTGATGGACGATCGAGGCAAGTTCATATTCATCTCCCCAGAAGAGATGAAGGCTATAGCGAGCTACATCCGGGCATCGGGGCGAGTGAGCATCGCGGATCTAGCAGCACGCTCCAACGAGCTCATTGATTTGGACGCTAAGGCTGAGGAGGAGAATGGGGCTGTTGGGGATGCGGGTGGTGGGGGAGGGGAAGGAGGGATATCGTGGGAGGATATTGCAGTGGAGGAGGCGATAGGGGCGGAGGGAGGGGGTGGTGGCTTGGAGATGGGTCAAGAGCAGGTGGCTGTGGGTGCTGCGTGAGGGGAGGCCGTAGCTGTAGCCAGCTACATCCGGGCATCAGGGCGAGTGAGCATTGCGGATCTAGCAGCGCGCTCCAACGAGCTCATAGACCTGGACGCTAAAGGGGAGGAGGAGAACACAGTTGGGGGGGATGGTGGGGGAGATGGGAATGCAGGAGGTGGGATTTCGTGGGAGGATATTGCAGTTGAGGAATCAGTAGGGCTGGAGGGGGCGGGTAGTGGTGGGGTGGAGGTGGGTCAAGAGCAGATGGCTGTGGGTGCTGCGTGAGCGGAGGAGGCATCGTGCATTTTGGATTTCGTGGGAGGATATTGCAGTTGAGGAATCAGTAGGGCTGGAAGGGGGAGGGGGTGGTGGTGGGGTGGAGCTGGGTCAAGAGCAGGTGGCTGTGGGTGCTGCGTGAGGGGGTGGCTTTTGAGTCGACTCAAAAGTCACCAAGAGCAGGTGGCTGTCAGTGCTGTGTGAGGGGAGGACAGAGGGAGGCTGAGGGGAGGGCACAGTTATGTTCTGGGGGGAGGGCTAGGTGCATTCGGGTACAAATGCGGTAGTGGTGGTGCGGGGAGGTGGAGATGGAGGTGCGTAGAAGTTGGGCTAGGCAAGGTCAAGTTATATCACAGGACAGGACTGGTCACTGAAGCACCTCAAGCACACCAGTACCGGTATCCATGTGTTGGCTGAGTCGGGTGACGGTGAGGACGGGAGTTGTTCAACTGCTTACGGTATGTTCTTACGGTATGCTACTACTACTACTACTACTACTACTACTACTACTACTACTACTACTACTACTACTACTACTACTACTACTACTACTACTACTACTACTACTACTACTACTACTACTACTACTACTACTACTACTACTACTACTACTACTACTAATACTACTACTCTACTACTACTACTACTACTACTACTACTACTTACTACCTACTACTACTACTACTACTACTACTATAACTACTACTACTACTACTACTACTACTACTACTACTACTACTACTACTACTACTACTCTACTACTACTACTACTACTACTACTACTACTACTACTACTACTATACTACTACTGATACTTATACTACTACCTACTACACTACTACTACTACTACTTACTACTACTACTACTACTACTACTACTACTTACTACTACTACTACTACTACCCTAGTGTATTTGGTATGTTAATTAGACTCCTGAGATCGATTACATTGTAAAACACTACCTGTGTAGTTAAAGCACATGCAAACACAAACAAAACTGATACTCTGTCCAGAAACACAATCGGTTTCACACAGTGCATCAGTATTCCCCAGCACCAGTGGAACTATCAGCAGTCTAAACCAGCACCACCAGCAGCAGCCGCACCATCCCCAGCAGCATCATTGCCCCATCATTGCCCCATGCCGCCCATCTTCCCGCCGAGAATATTCGCAAACTCGGACGAGTTCATCTGCTTCATCAGGTCTGCTGCATTCATATTCCTCGCAGCTGCACCCATGTCGCTCGACTCCCAGCCCACCCCTCTTCCCTCCCCTACCCACCGCCAGCAGCAGCAGCACCACCGGCAGCAGCACCGGCAGCACCACGAGCACCCCTATTGTCCCATCATTGTCCCATGCCGCCCATCTTCCCACCAAGAATATTCGCAAACTCGGACGAGTTCATCTGCTTCATCAGGTTCTGCAGCCCGTTCAGCCCGCCCATCTGCTGCAGCATCTGCGGAGGCAGCGCCCTTGCCATCTGAGCAGCGTTCATATTCCTCGCAGCCGCACCCATGTCGCCACCCAAACCACCGCGCTTCCCTCCCCCGCCCATCATCTTGAGGCCCTTCATCTTGCTCCAGATCTTGTCCATCTTGCGATACTCTTCCAGCAGCTCCTGCACTTCTAGGGGGTGCCGCCCTGAGCCCCGGGCTACGCGGATGATGCGCTTGGTGTCGTGAAACAGCTTCGGGTTCGTGCTGTCCAGCTCTGAAGGAGGGGGAAAAGAGTAGGGGGGGAACAGGAGGGCGGCAAGAGGAGGGGAGCACAGAGCAAGCACGCAGAAACAGGGGGTGTGGGGTGGTGGGGAATCGGACGTGGGAGGGGGAACACAGGGAAGTGCTACGGCCAGTGAAGCACTTAGTGTGTAAGACCCTGAGGCCCATCATGCCCATCATCTTGAGGCCCTTCATCTTGCTCCACATCTTGTCCATCTTGCGGTATTCTTCCAGCAGCTCCTGCACCTCCAGGGGGTGCCGCCCTGAGCCTCTCGCCACGCGGATGATGCGCTTTGTGTCGTGAAACAGCTTCGGGTTCGTGCTGTCCAGCTCTGGGGGGGGGAGGGGAGGAGAGGAGGACGGGGGTGTGGTGCGAGCAGTGTGGGGAGATGAGAGGGGGAGGCGGGGGATAGGGGTGGGCTAGCCAAGAGAGGCGTGTGGTCATGAGGCGAGATGCGAGTGCCATGGTGGTGCTTTTGACAAGTCCCAAAAAAAGGCCCTACCATCTCTTCCCCCTCCCTCCACCCCCTCTAACCCCCCCACCAAGGGGAGGAATGGAGTCCACGATGGAAATGAAGACAACTTGTTCAGTTCAGCCAACTTTTCTTCATGTTCAAGACTTCTTGTTAACGAATGAAAACACCTTCTTCAGCCACGCCGACTTCTTCATGTTGAAAAAGTTGTTGGCCACGATGGATAGGAACACAACTTCATCCGCCATCCCGACTTCTTGAAGGCACCTTCCTCACTCGTCTCATCTCATCAAATCGCCTCATCCACCCCTTCCCTCCCCTCCCCGCTCCCCCCAACCAACCCACGGTGGACAAGTATGGAGACCATGATCGTCATGAACTTCTTCATAAGGCGCCCTTCCTCAAATTCTCTCATCGAATCCTCTCATCCACCCCCTCCCCCCCCTCCCCTCTCCCCCCCACCCACCGTGGTCAGTCATCGAGTCCATGATCGTCATGAACTTCTTCAGCCGCGCCGGTTGCAGAGGCGCCTCAAAATCGTCTCATGAAATCGCCTTCCCCCTCTCACACCCTCACCCCCCCCACACCCACACCCACCGTGATCAGTCATGGAGTCCATGATCGTCATGAACTTGGTGAGCAGCGCTGCATATTACAGGCACCTTACTCGTTCATCTCATCAAATCGTCGCATTCATCTCTTCCCTCCCCTCCCTCCGTTCCCCTCTCCCACGCACCATGGTCAGTCATGGAGTCCACGATAGTCATGAACTTCTTGAGCCGCGCTGCATTATCAAGGCACCTTCCTTGACCGTCTCATCACATCATCCCATTCACACTTTTCCTTCTCTCCCACGCACCATGGTCAGTCATGGAGTCCATGATGGTCATGAACTTCTTCAACCGCGCTGTGCTCTCCTTCTCGCGCCCCTTGGGCATGAGCTCCTGGGTGAACCCTGGGATCATCGACATCACCTGCTCGCATGCAGAGGGATGAGGGGAGGGGGGAGAGGCGGGGTAGGTGGGTGTGTGTGGGCAAGGGGGGTGGGGAAGGTGGGGTGGGTAGAGTGCACATAAGGTTCCTTGTCCTGGCATGGTGGAGTGGAGTGGAGTGGAGTGGAATAACGTGGGATGAGCTAATTCTACCCACTTCAACCAACCTCCTCCCCACCCCTCCCCTCCTTCCTCCCCACAGCTCTCACCTGTCCCAGCGGCCCCAGCTTGAGGATGTTCTGAAACTGCTCGTACATGATGCGCAGCGTGCCACAGAGCAGAGAAAGCCCAGCCCAGCTCTCAACTCCCAATCAAGCACCCTTCCTCCCCTCTCTCCCCAGCCACCAGCCACTCTCACCTGCCCAAGTGGCCCCAGCTTGAGGATGTTCCGGAACTGCTCGTACATGATGCGCAGCGTGCCACAGAGCAAGCCCAGCTCTCAACCCCCAAGCACCCTTCCTCCCCTCCCCCTCCCCTCTCTCCTCCCGCCCCACTCTCACCTGTCCCAGCGGCCCCAGCTTGAGGATGGTCTGGAACTGCTCGTACATGATGCGCAGCGTGCAGCCAAGCAGAATGAGCCCTGCGCTCTCATCTCAACTCCCAAGCACCCTTCCTCCCCTCCGCCCCCCCACACGTCTCTCTCTCACCTGTCCCAGCGGCCCCAGCTTGAGGATGTTCTGGAACTGCTCGTACATGATGCGCAGCGTGAAGTGCCCCTCCTGCAGCTTCTGCAGCAGCTCCGGCTGCTGGTCCATGGGGATCACGTCCTGAATGCGATCCATGAACCCCGTCCAGTCGCCCATGCCTGGGGCGAGGTGGGGGGGGGGGGGGGGAGGAGGGGAGGGAAGGGGGCAGGAGAGGGGCGGGGAGGGGGGGAGGAGGGAAGAGGGCACATAGAGAAAGTGGAACCGGGAGGGAAGAAGGAGGGGAGGGGACTCATAAGCACGGCACCCACAGGCAGCATTAACAGGAGATGGATTCTGAGTGGGCTCTAAAACAGATGTGCAGCAGCTCGGGCTGCTGGTCCATGGGGATCACGTCCTGAATGCGATCCATGAACCCCGTCCAGTCGCCCATGCCTGCCCGTACCCGTGAAGGGGGAGGGTAGGTTAAGGGAGGCGAGGGAAGAGGGGGAGGGATTTGAGGGGGGGCGGGGGCGGGGGCACACAGGTGGAATGCATAGGAAGGCACGAAAGGAGGTAGAAACAGTTAGTCAGGTGGAACGCACAACATTTGACATAACACTTTCGGAAACAATTATCATCGTATCTTGAAACACTCCTTGTCCTGACCCCCCTCCCCCTTTTCCCCTCCCCATTCCCCATTTCCCCCACCCACTCCCTCCTTTCCCCCATCCTTCCCCCCATCCTTGTCACTCCCTCTCTCCTCCCTGCATACCCAGCAGTCTGCTGACGAAGGCCTTGGTTTCGAACTGTTCAAACTCGTCTATATGCTCTCCCGTGCCGATGAAGATCACCGGCGATTTGGTGGCCGCCACACTGGGGGGGAGGGGGGGGGTGGGGGAGAGAGCGAAGGGGGGAGGGAGGAGCGAAGGATGCAGGGAAGGTTTGAGGGGGGTAAGGGAGAGCGAGGGCCTCGAAGGCAGTGAAGCTCGTAAACTCCCCCATGCCACAAAAGGATTACAGGAGACATGACAGCTGTGACGCTGGTATGGAGGAAAGAAAGCAACAAGAGGAAAACAGTGTGACTATATATATATATATATATATATATATATTACCTTTAATCAAGCAGAAGGCGCACTAGCAGGTGCATCCCTTCTCAAAGCCGACACTGGATATGCATTTGTTGTGTGCTGAGGGAGGTGATGATGACAAGACATGACAGCCCCCATGGGCAAGCTCTCCTTGAACGCCTGCGCCTGGTGGGTGCTCCCTTGATTCTCCATGCCAACTAACTCTGAATATACATGCATTGCGTGTTGAAGGAAGCACACTCACGCGCTGAGGGCGCCGCCACCCTTGGCGTGGCCGTCCATCTTGGTGATGATGACCGCTCCCACGAACAGAGTGAAAGCCGGGTGAAGAATCTCACTGCCTCTCAATCTGTGCTAAGGCCATCGGGGGCAGCTCTCATGCGCTACGGCTGTTAGAGGGACGAAGAAGAACACTCACGCGCTGAGGGCGCCGCCACCCTTGGCGTGGCCGTCCATCTTGGTGATGATGACGGCCCCCACCGGCACGCTTCCTTTGAACCCCCTGTGCCTGATGAGTGCTCCCTTGATTCTCAAGGCCGGCACTGGGCACACATTTGATGTGTGTTGAGAGAAGAAGAAGAGCACTCACGCGCTGAGGGCGCCACCACCCTTGGCGTGGCCGTCCATCTTGGTGATGATGACCGCTCCCACGGGCACGCTTCCTTTGAACGCCTGCGCCTGGTCGTACGCCGCCTGGCCTATGCTGCTGTCCATGACAAACAGCACGAGGTCGGGGCTCTGTGGCGTGTGGGGAAGGCGGGAGTGGGGAGAAGGAAATGGGAAGAGCGGGACGTTTGAGAATGCCTGCCTGCGCCTGGTCGTATGCTGCCTGGCCTCTGCTGCTGTCCATGACGAACAGCACAAGGTCGGGGCTCTGTGGCGTGTGGGGAAGGCGGGAGTGGGGAGAAGGAAATGGGAAGAAGGAGACGTCTGAGAACGCCTGCCTGCGCCTGGTCGTCTGCGCCTGGTCGCCTGCGCCTGGTCGTATGCTGCATGGCCTCTGCTGCTGTCCATGACGAACAGCACCAGGTCAGGGCTCTGTGGCGTGCCGCATGGGGGAGGAGCGGGGGGGAGGGGAATGCAGGAAGAGAGACGAGGGAAGAGGGAAGAGGGAAGAGGGAAGAGGGAAGAGGGAAGAGGGAAGAGGGAAGAGGGAAGAGGGAAGAGGGAAGAGGGAAAAGGGAGTTAGGAAATGGACAAACCGACGCTGCTGTCCATCACAAACAGCACCAGGTCGAGGTTCTGGGTGGGGCGGGAAGGGGGAAAAGGGGGGGGAGCCGAAGGGAGGAGTGTGGAGGAATTGTGGAGATTGGGTCTGGCTGGTGGGGAAATCAAGCAGAAAATAAAAACGAATAGATGAAGCCCTGTACACAAATGTCTTCCTATACACATACACACATAAGCAGTACATACATAGATACATATGACGAACATAAAGCTTTGCAGGTGAATCAACAAGGTGGGTGGGTGGGTGGGTGGGTGGGTGGGTGGGTGGGTGGGTGGGTGGGTGGGTGGGTGGGTGGGTGGGTGGGTGGGTGGGTGGGTGGGTGGGTGGGTGGGTGGGTGGGTGGGTGGGTGGGTGGGTGGGTGGGTGGGTGGGTGGGTGGGAGAGTGGGAGGGTGGGAGGGTGGGAGCATGACCGTGAGCTCGGAGACTTGGCGCATCTCCTCAAAGAGCGATGCCTCCTGCTTGTGGCGGCCACTGGTGTCGATGATGATCAGGTCGCACCCCTCCTTCTTCATGATCTCCACTCCCTCCTGCGCTATCTTCGCTGGATCCGTCTCCGTGTAGCTGCAGGTGGGGCAATGATGAAGGTCGGCGGACGCAAGCGAGAGAGAATAGGAGAGAACTGGGTAAGAAGAGTGGTGAGGAAAGGACCCACCCACCCTGAACTGGGCCTTAGTGGCTTTCTGCTGCTTTCTGCTTTCTGAACTCGTGCCCTTTGAGTCAACTTGTAAATACACCAAGACACAGGAACCCACCCACCCTACACACACACACACACACCACCCACCCACCCACCCACCCAGCGCGCACCTGCCGTAGAAGGGGATCTTGGCCTTGGTGGCGTTCTGCTTGAGCTGGGAATTAACTCGTAAATACACCACAAAAATAACCCACACCCATTCCCCACCCACGCAACGCAGCGCGCACCTGCCGTAGAATGGGATCTTGGCCTTGGTGGCGTTCTGCTTGAGCTGGGAATTAACTCGTAAATACACCAACCACCCAGCCACCCCACATCCACCCTCCCCCCCCCACGGACCCACCCAGCGCACACCTGCCGTAGAAGGGGATCTTGGCCTTGGTGGCGTTCTGCTTGAGCTGGTCGAAGGCACCCGCACGGAAGGTATCCGCGCAGATGAGCGCGGGCTTCCACCCCTTGCGCTGGTAGAAGTGCGCGTACTTGCCACACGTCGTTGTCTTTCCGGACCCTGAAGGGAGGGGAGGGTGGGGGAGGGAGGGTGGCGTTGCGAGTGGGGGAGGAAGGAGGTGAAGAGGGAGGGAGGGAGGGAGGGAGGGAGCGAGGGAGGGAGGAGGAGAGGCAGAGAGGTGAAAGAGTTAGCGTTTGCATACTTGCCACACGTCGTCGTCTTGCCCGACCCAGAGGGGAAGCGAGCGGTCGAGTGACGGGGGGGATAAGAGAGAGAGGGGGAGGGGAGGGGAGAGGAGGAGGGAGGCAAAAGTAGAGGGGAGAGAGAGGGAACGAGGAAGAGAGGGAGAAATGGAAACTGGGGAAGAGAGGTGAAAGGAGAGGGTTGGGTATGGCGGGAGGGGACGTGTGGCAGGTGACTGTGGGAAGAGGACGAGAGGGAAGGAGGAGCAGTAGAGGGAGCACAGAGTAACGGAAGAAGCAAGGGAGGGAGGCAGGAAAGGAGGGAGGGAGAGAGGCAGGGAGGGAGCGAGGAGGGGCGGAAGGGGCGAACCGACCTTGCAGGCCGACGAACATGATGATGTTGGGCTTGCCCTTCTTGGGCTGGTACGGCGTCGTGTTAGGGTCCAGCATGTTGCACAGCTCGTTGAATATCGCCTGCCGCACCACAGCCCCAACGACAAGCACGTAACGCAGGGGGGAGGGAGAAGGGAGTAGAGGGAATGGGGAACGGAAGAAAGGAGAACTCTGAGAGAAGGGAGTACGGCGTCGTGTTAGGGTCCCGCATGTTGCACAGCTCGTTGAATATCGCCTGCCGCACGCAGCACGCAACAGTGGACCGGAGAAAGAGAAAGCACGGGACGCAGGGAGCAGGGGGAAGGGAGTGGAGGGAAGGGGGAAGGGAGAAGGGAGAACCTTGAGTCGACTCAAAATCCAGCAGCAGCAGCAGCAGCAGCAGCAGCAGCAGCAACCCCAACACACCTTCTCAATGATGATTCGCTTGTTATGCCCGGCCGCGAGCTCCTCGAGATTGACGATGCGCTTGATGTTCTGCTGCAGGCCCATGACCATCTTGAACGACACGTCGGCCTGCAGCAACGGTAACAAAAGCAGCCCCAACACACCTTCTCAATGATGATCCGCTTGTTATGCCCGGCTGCCAACTCCTCGAGATTCACAATCCGCTTGATGTTCTGCTGCAGACCCATGACCATCTTGAACGACACGTCGGCCTGCAGCAGCGCGCGCGTGATCTCGTTGAGGCACTCGTTGAGAGCCTTCTCGTCGATCACCGTCACGCGGTTCATCGCCTGGATGGCGCGCGATATGCGCCCACCCAGCTCCGCGAGCACCATGGTGGCGGACGGACGCGCGCGGGGGGAACCGAAAGGGGGAGGGGTTGGGAGAAGACGGCGACGGCGACGCCGACGATTACGACGAGCGGGAGGACGATGAGGGGTGTGAAAACGACGGGGGGTGTGAGGGTAGTGAGTGGGAGATTGACCGGGAGAGTACGTAGGGAATAGAGGGCCGGGGGGTTGGGAGTGAAGCGGACTCTAGACTAAGTGACGAGTGAATCGCGACACTGGAATGGGATTACGAAAGTGGTAAAACGGGACCGACGAGCGACCGCGAGGAAGACAGAGATACAGGGAGAAAACGAGCGGGATTAGCTCGTCAGACGGACGACTGTGAAGCGGAGGGATTCTCGCGAATAAATATGCTTTCGCGAAAGATTTAGTGGCCTAACTAGAGACGGTCCAAGAATCCACGTGACGACGTGGCAGAGGGACTAAGGGCAAGGAATTAGGGCACGGTTTGCCAACAGGGGATTTGGGACAGTTTGATGAGAAGCAAGCGGTTCATTTGGGTTAATGTTGTTAACAACCTCGGTTCCTGACAGAACTGGAGGCTTGATTTGGTCAGCAGTTCGCCAGTCGAAGGAGGGAAACGCGGAGCATTTCGGTTACGGAGATGGCTCAATCGGGCAGTGGTGTAGCTAGGAATCCTCCCATTAATTGTATCATCGACACTATGAGTTGAAATATAAACAGAAATACCTCACATTCATAAGCAGCTAAAACAGGTTTGTTTACAGACTAGTCTCCACTAACAGTGCATCACATTCCTACCCAGTTTGAAAATGGAGCATCCAAGTGACCCCGCCCTTACCCTTAAGCTTGACAACAAGGCTGGCTGCTACAAATGAATGGCAAACAGTTTCACTAAGAAACAAATCACTGGAGTCAGCCAGTCAAAACTTCTGGGTCTGGGCTGGAGCAGTGCCGAATTTCCCACACTTTCTGCTTGCTGGCCGGATCCAATCCAAAGTAACCCACCTGCCACCCCGCCATCACACCTCGTGAGCAACCATCGCCGTACCATCTCGCATATATATGATTTCATCTCAATCTCAATCTACACCAATCAATGGCCTGACGAAGCGCTTCGTCGCTGAGCTGGCCCACTGCCGCCGCCCCCTCTCGGGCTCTCTCCAGGGCTGCCCCCCGGTGACCCCCCGCTTCCGCCCCTGCTGCCCCCACCTGCTCCCCCCCTGTATTGCTGTCCTGCTCCTCCCCCTCCTCCCCCTCCGCTTCCGCCCCCTCCGGCACCTCCTCCCCCACCCTCCTGCTGCTTCAGAGCCTGTAATCGAGAGTGCAAGGGCTCTGTGGTTCCTGCTGCTGCCCTACCAGACACCCTACCACCACCACCACCACCAGCAGCATTGCTGCTGCTGTTGTTATTACTGCCACTGCTGCTGCTGCTGCTCTGACCAGCCCCTCCTGCTGTCATCGGCCGTTCCCCAAGCCCCAGAGAGCTCCGCCCTCGTCCTCCTGATCCCCCTCCGCCCCCCCCAAGCCCGCTCCCCCCCGGGCTGCTGCTGCCACTGGGGCTGTTCACCACCTGGTCGATCCACAGATCCAGCTTTGACGTCGTAGCACGGTCGATCCACATTCGCAGATCCTGCGCTTCTTTCTGCTGGGCACCCGTGCGGATCTGCCTTTTGGGCGGCTCCAAACTGGCACTACGCCACAAGGGGGACGGATTCCCTGCCCCGCCTCTCCCCGGCCCCATCCCCCCACCCATCCCCATCCCATAACCAAACCCTCCTCCTCCCCCTGCTCCCCCTCCTCCTGCACTGCCCCCGCTCCCCCCTCCTCCTCCCAGCCTCCCATGCCCGTACGGCTCTGCTAGCATGTGCCTTGATCCCACCCCTCCCTCTCCACCTCCCCTGCCCGGCCCACCACCACCACCACCTCCTCCTCCTGGGCTGTCCCCTCCAGCAGTGAGATTGGTGAGGCGCGAGAGGAGAGACGACACAGGGTACTCGCCGCCTTCGGGAGTGAGGGAGCGGCGCAGGCCAGACGCCTGGTGCGTGGGACCGCGGGGGATTGCAGCGCCGGCGCCTGCGTGCAGGCTGGACGAGTGCTGGTGGTGCGAGACATGCGGATGCGGATGCGGGAGAGCATGGGTTTGAGAAGAATGGCCCTGGGGATGATCTCGCTCTCTGTCCGAAGTCCCCTCACTCCCAGTTGCATGCCCCGACATACCCCCACCACCAGCACCACCACCAACAGAGGCTGGGTGTGTTGTGGGGCGGGCACGGGCTGGAGAGCGCAAGGGAGACCTGCCGTGAGAATCCCCTCCTCCCCCAACCGCACCTCCCGACCCTCCTCCTCCTCCCCCTCCTCCTCCTCCTCCTCCGTCCGCTCCTCCTTCTCCTCCTCCTGCCCCTGCCACAGGTCCCCCTGCGCCCAGGTGTAACCCGTCCATGCCAATGCCCCCCTTGTCTCTCCTGCGCCGCCTGTGGTCCTCAGGGCGGGGCAGGCGCGAGTCCATGCGCGGGCTAGACAGCAGGCCCCCAGAGGAGCTGGAAACCACTCCAGATGCAGACAGCGAGCTGGGAAAGGCTAACCCTGGGGGCACATTCCCTTGAAGCCCACTCCCTGCTGCTCCCACTCCTCCTCCTCCTGCTGCTCCTGCTGATGCTGATGCGTGCACGCGTTCCGGGCTGAGAGGAACCGGTGAGGTGGAGCCGAAACTGAAAGCAAACCCATCAGCAGCACCACCATCCATCATCATTCTCGCACCTCCAAGCCCTCCCTCCGCGCTGCCCCGCCCAACCGGGCCCCCCAGGGAGCGTCGGCGGGTGGGGGAAGGCGAGGGGCGGGTGGGAGGCGAGTCAGGGTCCGCTGCAGCAGCACTGATCCGAGGAGGGCTGGAGGGGCGGGCGAACGTGGGGGACAATCCCAGCATGGGAACCACGGCTGATTGCGAACGTGTCGCTGCCACCGCTCCTCCTGCTCTCGCACCCGGCCCTGTACCCGCAAACCCCCCCGTGCTTCCTCCACCGCCCCCTCCTCCTCCTCCTGCATTATTCTTTCCTTGCCCTCCTCCCAAGCCTCCCCCTCCCCCTCCCCCTCCTCCTCCTCCTCCTCCTCCTCCTCCTCCTCCCCCGCCTCCTCCCCCTCCTCCGCCCCCACTAATCTTGGACCAGATTTCTTCCATAGTGGGGGCGCTGCCTGTGCTGCCATCGTCACTCGTCAGCCCCCCATCCTGTTGCCCCATATACAGCTGCTCCTCCTCCCCTGCCTCCTCCGCATGCTCATTCCATCCCGCCCTGCCACTCTCCCTACCCCCACCACCATCACCACCAGCGGCAGCGGTAGCAGCACGGGAAGGAGCGGCAGCAGAAGCAGCAGAGGATCCAGCGGCTCTGCTTCTTGGTGACAGCGGTGGCCTCGGTCCACCTCCTTCCCTCACGCCACTAACTGGGTGCCTCTTTCCCCTGCCACCACTACCACTTGCACCTTGCCCGCTGCTGCTCAGCTGACCTGATGGCCCTTCAAATCCGCCTCCTGTTCCTGTTCCAGCTGCTGCTGCTCCTCCTCCTCCCTGTCTCCTGGGGCTGAGAGGCGACATTGGTCTATCATATCCTTGCCTTTGAGCTCCTGGCACTGATACTGCCTCACCTGCCCCACCTGCACCACTTCTCCCACTTCCTCTGCCCACACCCACAGCCCCACCTGCTCCTGCTCCTGCTCCACCTTTCGGCACCGCTTTCCGCCCTTCAGAACCACTAGTCGTGCCACTGCCCCTCCCTACAGCCTTTGGAGACTTACGCCCCTCACTCCACCTATTCTCCTCCTCCTCCTCCTCCTCCTCCTCCTCCTCCTCCTCCTCCTCCTCCTCCTCCTCCTCCTCCTCCTCCTCCTCCTCCTCCTCCTCCTCCTCCTCCTCCTCCTCCTCCTCCTCTTCCTCACTCTCCGCCTTCACTCCTCGTCCTCCCCCTCCTCGCACGTTGCCCCTGGTTCCCCCATCTGACCCAGGCCTACCACCACCACTGCCACCACCGCCCCCACCTCCCCCTGAATCCGCTCCCGCACCTGCCCCTTCAGGTACAGGTCTCATACGCCTGGGAGAAGACAAAGGTGGCTTTTGCCGTCCCCCCCCACTCCCCCCGCTCCCCCCCCCACTGCTGTACCCCTCCCCTCCAAGCTCCCGCGCCCCTCCCGCTCTCCCCACTGCTCCTGCCCCGCCGCCCCCTTTATACCTCCTAACAGTCGCGGACGAAACGGAAGCATCCGAGAAGAACCCGCTACTGTCCGAATCACTGGTCATATCGCTCCACACATCCACATTGGGCGACTGCTGCAGGCTCAGTTTCGCCATCCGTTTCCGAGACCGCGACGCAGCCGCCGCCGCTGCAGCAGCAGACGCGCTCGTGCTGCCTCCCCCTCCCGCCGCCGCCGCTGCCCCTTCCTCTGCATGCAAGTCTTTCAAAGCCACCACACTCTCTCTAATCGCTCGCTCCAAATCCCTCGGCCGGATCGGCTTGGATAAATAATGGTCCATGCCTGCAGCAATGCACTTCTCCTTGTCCTCGCTAAGAGCGCTTGCGGTAAGAGCGATGATGAACGTGCGGTGCGGGCGCGGGAGGTGGCGGCGTGGCGGGGGGTTCCCGGGGTTCTGCTGCTGCAGGAGCTTGGCTGCGGCCTTGGCTTCCTTGTACGCCCGCACTCTCTCCACCTCCATCTCTCGGATCTTCTGTGTTGCCTCAAAGCCATCCATCTCTGGCATGTGGCAGTCCTGTGGTAGGAGGTTGGGGAAAGGGCGAAAGCGTTTCGCGTCGACTCGTGAGTCACCGCAGGGCATCACAGCCATGGTGATGAGGAGGAGGAGGAGGAGAAGGGCAGAAGAGGTGGTGGGAATGAGCCCATGGCATCACAGCCAGCCATCTCCACAAACAGCGGCACACAGCAAGGACGTATGCCCACGCACTACCGTTCCCCACCACACTACGACACACCCCACCCCACCCCATCCCACCCTAACCAACCCCATCCCATCACATTCCATCCCAGCAAACCCCGCAAGGTTAGAGAGGCAGGGCCAGTGCGTCCCACGCACCATGAGCACGACTTCGTATTTGCGCGCCTCGCATGCGCTGAGCGCGAGGCGGCCGTTCTCCACGAGGTCGTACTTGATGCCCAGGTTGTGCAGCATGCGCGTTGCTACCATCTGATTCACCTTGTTGTCCTGGTGGCAGGTGGGTTGGGGGGATGGGTGGAGAGGGGTGCGTTGGGCGCATGGGTGGGTTGGGAGGGAGTGAGCCTCTGTCACGGCGAGCTTGCCATTCTCCACGAGGTCGTACTTGATGCCCAGGTTGTGCAGCATGCGCGTCGCCACCATCTGATTCACCTTGTTGTCCTGGTGGGCGAGGGGTGGATCGAGAGCAGGGGAAAGGAATGGGGGTTTCGGGGGGAATGGAGGGAGTGACCAGACACATTCACCTCAGCCACAAGCATACACCTCTGCAGAACCCTCAGGCAAGCTCGTAACCACCACACCAGGGCACACACACGCACCTCCGCCACAAGCACTCACCTCGGCCAAACCATCAGGGAAGCGCGTAACCAGCAAGCACAAGAGAGCACACTCACCTCGGCCACGAGCACTCACCTCGGCCACGAGCACTCACCTCGGCCACGAGCACTCACCTCAGCCACGAGCACTCACCTCGGCCACGAGCACTCACCTCTGCTACCAGCACGCGCATGTTCTGCAGGTGGCGCCACAGCAGCCCCTCTTCTGCCGACTCTGCTTCCGACGACACGGCGCCTCCGCCCCGCGGCTGGTCCGGGACCACGAGCAGGTTGACAAAGAAGAAGAACACGGACCCCTGCCCCACCTTGCTCTCCAGCCCTATGTCCCCGCCCATCAGGTTGCACAGCGACTTGCAAATTGCGAGGCCCAGGCCTGTTCCGCCGTACTTGCGGCTCGTGGAGTTGTCCGCCTGGAGGGGAAGGGGGAGGATGGGGTGGGATCACTAGTTTAGTTGACTCAAAGATCGCCAGCCCTAGCCCTGTTCCTCCGTACTTGCGACTCGTGGAGTTGTCCGCCTGGAGGGGAAGGGCAGGGGGTGGGGGTGTGAGTGAGGTGGGGTGGAAGGCAGAAGACAGAGGGGCAGAGAGAGACAGAGAGAGGCAGGAAGCGACGGAGTGGCGGAAAGAGATGGAGACAGGCAGAAAGGAGGCAGAGAGAGGCAGACGCAGGCAGGAAGAGGCTGAGACGGTGGTGACCTGTGAGAAGGCGCGGAAGAGGCGGCTCTTGCCAGCATCGTCCATGCCTATGCCCGTGTCCCGCACCTCAAACCGCACCATCACCCTCTCCCCTCCCCCTCCCGCTGCCCCACCGCCCTCCTTGCCCCTCCCGTGCGCGGACCCTGCCCCTGCTGACGGCAGCCCCAGAGGAGAGGGTGCAGTAGTAGCAGCAGAAGCAGCACTGGAAGCACCAGAAGCACCAGATACAGCAGCAGCAGCTGCAGCAGCAGCTGCAGCAGCAGAAGCAGGACTCATCCCAGCAGCGGCTGCTGCACCAGCTCCGGTGCTGGTTCCAGTGCTGGTGGCACCAGTAGCTGTGGCAGCAGCAGCGGCAGCAGTGGCAGCGGCGGCCCCCCTGGTGTTGAGTGCTGGTGCGGGTAGCTTTGCTAGAATCGCCCTGACTGATGTGATTTCAGCTGGCAGCGCCAGACGCACGTTCACACTGATCCCGCCACTGGTGTGGGGGAGAGGCATGGGGGAAGGGGACGACGAGGAGGAGAGGAGAGCAAGGAGATGATGGGCAGAGGTGAAAGGCGATTCAACACGAACATTGGAAATTGGTAAGGGAGGCAGCATTTAGCGATGCATACAAGCAGGCAAGCACACCTTGCCACCAATTAACACCACTTGTCACCATCACATCACACGTCATTATAACGATCTGTGCCGTGCCACAAGCTCACTCCCCATTCAGCATGTGACAGTCACAAATTAATCATCCAGGGCTGGGCACCACACACATGCATTCATGCATGCATGCACGTTCGGATCAGTCATCCAACCCAGCCCACCTTGCAACTCTCTCGTACAGAGAACCCAACTGCACTGCACACGCCTCCACCCGCACTTACGTATCCGTGAACTTGATGGAATTGGAGATGAGGTTCAGCAGCACCTGCCTCAACCGCACTGCATCGCCCACCACCATCTGCGGCACGCCCTCCTCCACCTCCACCTCCAGGTACAGCCCCTTGTCCTTCGCCACCACCTCCAGCAGCGCCAACGCTTCTGTCACCTGTAGAGAGGGAGTGAAGAGCACATAAGAAAAGGAGACGGAAGACAAAGCTCTTGCTCGATTCTCCTCCACCTCCACCTCCAAATACAGCCCCTTGTCCTTCGCCACCACCTCTAGCAGCGCCAACGCCCCTCTGTGACCTGTTGAACGAGATGTGAGACAGGCAGGCAGGAGACAAGGCCGTTGGTTAAAATCCACTTGCAAATATAGCCCTTTGTCTTTCCAACTTGATCCTTACAACAACCTAATCCCTCCAACCTAGTCCCTCCAACCTGATCCTTCCAACCAGACCCCTCTAACCTTCTCGGCCCTCACCTGCTGGTGCAAGTCAAATTCGAGAGACTCCAGCGCCAGGTTCCTCGACTCAATCTTGCTCAGATCCAAAATATCCGAGATAATCCTCAGCAGATTATCCCCCGACGACCGGATAATCTCCAGATACGACCGTTGCTCCGCCGTAAGATCCGTCCCCAGCAGCAGCTCCGCAACCCCAATCACCCCATTCATGGGGGTGCGAATCTCGTGGCTCATGTTCGCGAGGAACTGGCTCTTAGCCTGGCTGGCTTTCTCTGCGGCTTCTTTCGCGGACTGGAGCTCGGCGGCGTGGAGTTTGATGTCGGTGAGGTCGTGCCACACGGCCAGCAGTGTGGGCTGCCCCTGCAGCACCACGTGTGTGAGTGTTACTTCCATCAGCACTGTTGACCCGTCCCCTGCCGCGTACGCCCACTCAAACCTGCCAAGCAGGCGGGGAAGAGAAAAAGCGAGAGGGGGGGAGAAGAGGGGGAATGGAGGAGGGGGACAGGGAGTGGGGGTTTGGTAACCTGGCCCTTCCTTTACTAAACTCCCTCCCTCCTCCTGCACTCTGTCTGTGACTTTCAGCCTAGCCCACTGAGGTGGAGTTGGATGTCGGTGAGGTCGTGCCACATGGCCAGCAGCGTGGGCTGCCCCTGCAGCACCACGTGCGTTAGAGTTACTTCCATCAGCACTGTTGACCCGTCCCCTGCCGCATACGCCCACTCAAACCTGATGGGGAGGCGCGTGGTGGGTAGCAGGGAAGACAGGGGGAGAGGGGGGAAAGAGATGAAGGGAGGGGGGGGGTTGAGAGAGGCAAGGGTGAAGGGTGGGAGAGCGGATGAGGGGAAGTGGGAGTGGGGGCATGGGAACCCTGCTTCCTGTGCCAGCCACGTTAGAGTCACCACCACAGACAAACCATCCATTCAACCCACCAGACAGCAGCCCAGTCTCACACCGCAGCTCCAACCCACACCCCACGCCCCACACCCCACACCCCACACACCATGTCCCACGCCCCCACCCCACACCCCACACACCATGTCCCACGCCCCCACCCCACACCCCACACACCATGTCCCACGCCCCCACCCCACACCCCACACACCATGTCCCACGCCCCACAGCTCCTGGCACTTACTTGGTGTGGCCCTGTTCAGCAGCCAGTGCATGCACCTCCTCGTACTTGTCCTCCGACCGCCGGCCGTCGGGCTGCAGCGGCGGGGAGAGCTCCACGAGGCGCTTGCCAATGAGGTCGCTGCGGTCGCTCAGACGCAGGCACTGCACGGCCGCGTCGTTGCAGTCGCTGATGCCCGTGTCCACCACCAGCAGATACCCGTCCTGGACGTTAGGAGTGTATGTGAGAGAGATGGCATGGCATGGCACGTCAAGGAATGACACGGCACGTCAAGGAATGACACGGCACGACACGACACGGCATGACACAGCGCAGCACCACACTGGGGAGTGTGACGCGCAGCTGTGCCGGATGGTGCGTGCGAGATGAGGAGAATGAGTGGGCTGCGGAGAGCGGGGCACAGGGAGCGGGGTGCGAGCAGTTCTCTCTACATGCTTGCTCGTCATTCCCCAAGTGCCCAGGTCTATCCCCATGTGTGGCGTGCCCGTGCGTCGATATTATATCTCCCCATGTGCCCAATGCCCATCACTCCCTCCCTCCCACCCATGACGCACAGTGGAGAGTTCAAACAGCAGGCGGAACCGCTCCTGCAGGACCAGCCGGTGAGTGACATCGGTGACGAGCCAGAGCTCCCCTCCGGGGAAGATGCTGCGCGCCACCTCCACCCAGCGCCGCTCGCCATCCTTGCGCACCATCACATGCGTGCGCGGCACCACCTGCCCACTCGCCCTGTCCCTCTCAAACATCGACCTCGCCTGTGGGGAGGGAGACAGGGATGTGGAAGAAAGGCATCAACGGATGGGCGGGCGAGGGAGGGGAAGAGAGGGGAGGGGAGGGAGGGATTGGTGGTGGATTGGTGAGCGGGTGGATGGGGGGACGGACAAGAGGGAGGGCTCACGCTCTGTCTGATCTAACGTGGCGCAAACATGGGCGGGAGGATGGGGGAATGGCAGCGCCGCTCGCCATCCTTGCGCACCATCACGTCCGTGCGCGGCACCACCTGCCCACTCGCCCTGTACCTCTCAAACATCGACCTCGCCTGGGGAAGGCGGACGGACACAGGGGGAAGGCACCGAGGGATAGGGGGGAGTTGAGGGGGGATATGGGAGGGAATGGATTGGTGATGAGGTGGTGAGATGGTGAATTGGTGTAGTAGGTTCGCGGTAAGGGAATGCCTCTTTGAGCAACCCACCTGGCACCGACGGCTCATTTTCCCCCGTACCCCTCAAAACTCCTTCCATTATACACCTGCTGCCTTCCCCCCCAATCCCTCTCCACATACCCCACTAGTGACTCATCCCCCATAACCCACAAAGCCACACCGCGCCCACTCCCTCCCCTCCTCCTCCTCCTCCTCACCATACCCCACCTGTCATATCCCACCCTGATCCTTCCTTCCCCTCCCCCTCCTCACCTCCATGGCCTTATCGCGGAACAGCACAGTGTACGTGGCTTCAAGGGACGTGAAGTGTCTTCTTGAGTACCCCACGAGCGTCTCCAGGCGCTCGTTCAGCAGCACCGTCGCGCCCCCGTCCTCCCTCTGCTGCACCCACACTGCGCCCACGGGTAACGACTCCACCACCATACGAGCCTTCTCCACAGCTGGGTCCTGATGCAGGAGGGCAGGTGGGGGGAAGGATGGGGCGAAAGGGGGGAAAGGAGATAGGGTTGGTTGAGGGGTGCCCCCGTCCTCCCTCTGCTGCACCCACACTGCGCCCACAGGCAGCGACTCCACCACCATGCGGGCTTTTTCCACCGCCGGGTCCTGGGAGGGCAGGTGGGGTGGGAGTGGGGGAGAAGTGGGGGGCAAAGGGGGAGAGGGGAGGTTTCTGAGGCGCCTCAAAACTTCCTCTGCTGCACCCACACTGCGCCCACGGGCAGAGAGTCCACCACCATGCGGGCTTTTTCCACTGCTGGGTCCTGATGCAGGAGGACAGGTAGGGGGAAGTGGGGCAGCAAGGGGGGAAACGGGGGGTTGAGGAGCCTCAAAACTCCCTCTGCTGCACCCACACTGCGCCTACTGGAAGAGATTCCACCACCATGCGAGCCTTCTCCACCGCCGGGTCCTGCCACAGGTGTGCAGGTGGGGGAGAAGGGTGGGGCACGGGGGAAAAGGGGGGGTTGAGGTGACTACTCCACACTCCCTCCGCTGCAATGCAACCACATGCCCACTACTCCACCACCATGCGACCACGCGACCATGCGAGCCTTCTCCACCGCCGGGTCCTGATGCAGGTCAGCAGATGAAGGGAACGAAGGGGGGTTGGTTGGGGGGTCGAGAGGGGGGTAAGAGAAGAGCAAGTGGTGCTGCCCGTGGTACGGTACTATGATGCTTCATGCAGGAGAGCTCGCTCGCACAAGGCGAGGCGGACAAGCATACACGGCGTTTGGGCACTCACGGAAGTGAGAGTGAGCTGGTCCATGGGCGATGATGATGATGATTCCTTTGCCACTGACAGCGGAGACTCCACAAGCGAGCACATGAGCAACCCCCCTGCTGCCGCAGCAGCAGCTCCAGCTCCGCCAGTACCAGCAGCAGCAGCAGGAAGACCGTCCATAGGGCTGATGAGCGACGCCGAGGAGAAAGACGAGGAGGCGGAGGGCAGCAGCGCGGAGAGCGACGAGGAGTATGACAGAGCCAAGGCAGAAGCCGAGGGGGCGGAGGAGGAGGAAGGGAAGGAGGGCGGGGGGAGGCAGCAGGAGAGGCGCACGCGGCGGGTCTTGCTGTTGGGGAGGGAGACGCGGAACTCCTTTCGGTAGAGCTCCTGCTGCTGAGTCTGGGCGTGGGTGTGGGCGTGGGGCGACTGGTGGAGCGGTGCAGAGGGCTGCGAGTGGGTTGCGGGAGGTCCCAGCGCTGCCAGCCCGCCCTGTGCTGCCTCTGATACCACTGCTGCCCAGGCCTGGTGAGGATGGAGGATGTTCATGAGAAAGAGAGTGGGGGTGGGGGGCGTGGGGGTAAGCGAGGGAGCGGGAGGGAGAGGGGTGAGTTTGAATGACATTTGTGGGGGAATGAGAGATGAGACGGACAAGGAGAGAGGGGAGAGGGCATTGATGGAGGGACGGAGGGAGGGAGGGAGAAGGGCGGGATGGGGAGGAGTTGAGGATGGGGGGGAGGCGGGAGGGGAGAGAGAGGTCAGGCATGGCACATGCGGCTATAATGAAGCTAAGGGTGGTACCGAGAGGAAGGGGGGGAACTGGGTGCGGGACGGAGACCTGGAAGTCTTGCAGGTCGTCAGGGAGGACAAAGTTCCGAGGCGTCTCAAAACTCGACTATGATAAAAGCTAGGGGGGGTGCGTGCAGAGGGGAGGGGTTTGGGGGCGCGGAGTGGGGACCTGGAAGTCTTGCAGGTCGTCAGGGAGAATGAAGTTTTGAGGCGTCACAAAACTCGACTACGAAAGAAGCTAGGGATGATACAGGGGGTAGGGGAGGGGACCGGGTGCAGGGCGGGGACCTGGAAGTCTTGCAGGTCGTCAGGGAGAATGAAGTCGTCGAGGCAGCGGCCCGAGATGGCGGAGAGGGGGCGACCCAGCAGGGAGGCGAGGGCAGGGGAGGCGAGGGAGATCTCGCACGTGCTCAGACGCATGGCAAACACGGCCGTGCCCACGTGGTCCAGCAGGTCCCTGCCGTGTTTTGAATGAGGGGGGGATGGATGGGAACGGGGGCAGCGTTCTGAGTCAACTCTTTACACGATCTCGCACGTGCTCAGACGCATGGCAAACACAGCCGTGCCCACATGGTCCAGCAGGTCCCTGCCGTGCCGTGCATCAGATGAGGAGGGGATGGGTGGGTGGGAACGGGGGGAGAGGGACAGCGGGGGAGTAGGGGAGCGGCGGAGCAGGATAGCGGGAGGAGAAGGGAGGGGGGGAGGAGCGGAGGAGGGGAGAATGGTGCTTGGCTAGAGATCCGTGGAGTGATTGCTGAGTTTGTTGGTCCTTTCCTTTGCATGGATGTTTCATTGCCGGTTGGCTGAGTAAGTGGTTAGTTGGTAGGTACGAGAGTGGAGGGATTGTGTTGAGTGAGTGCGTGCGTGTGACTGACCTGAGGGCAGGGTTGGGCAACCAAGGAGGGCCTTCGGGAGCAGAGGAGAACAGCAGCGGGGGAGATATGGTGCCGCTGCCATCTGGGAGAACAGGGGGAATAGAAAGGTAATAGTGCGTGTGGGAGGGGACACGAACGTCAGGTCTGCAGTGTTCCTTCTTGATGCATTTACGGTGCACCCGATTCTGTTAAGCCAGCGGGTTATAAACTCGATAAGCGTTTCTCTACTTAGCAGGTACAAGTCTTCACTTGGAAATAGATAGTAGCCCCTCTCATGTACTCCTCATCACAAGGACCAACCAAAGTAGAGGAGAGTAGGGTAGAGGACCACAGAGCATCCGTGCATTCAAGCACGTACCAGATCCCAAACGAGACCACCTTGACTGGCTCTTCCCTCCCGCGCCCACTCCCAGGCCATCCACAGCCACAGCTGCCTTCCTGTCTCTGCCTCCGCGCTCCCCTCTCACGCCCCTCCTGCTCGTGGACGTCGCACCATAGTACTCCGCAGCCTTGTCACCGTCCTCCACCGCATCGAACCCCTCCAGAGACACCTTTTCCAGCCCCACGTCCAGGCTGAGCCACTTGCTCAGGCGCGAAGGAGGCGCTGCTGTGTGCGTCTGCTGCCAACTAGGGGAATACCGACCCCCTCCCAATCCCCCTCCCAATCCCCCTCCCCCTCCCCCGCCTGCTCCCCCCACTGCAGTCCCAAACTCTGTACCCTCCTCCCGGGTGGTGGAGAGAGGGTTGGGCGACCCACTCTCCCTGCCGTATCCTCCCGACCCCCACCCGCCACCGCTGCCAGCTAAACCCACGGTGGACGGACCAGCGAGCTGCTGACTGCTGTGCCGCTGCAGCTGCTGCTGCGGTTGCTGCTGCGGTTGCTGCTGCTGCGATTGCTGTTGCTGCTGCAAGAATGAAGAGGTGTCAGTTTCCTCTGCTCCAGCACTGGTAAGAATCTCATGAGCTGTAGCCACCAGCTCACGCTCTCCGCCCACCTCCAGAAACTGCAGATTCACACACACCGCAATCTCCCGCATCACCTCCTCACCAGGCCCCGTCCCCGCCCCCATCCCCATCTCTCCCCCGACCTCCATCCCCTTCCAGCTTCCCGCACTCCCCACCCGCGGAAAATCTCCACTAATTCTACCTCCCCCTCCCCCCGCTCCTCCGCCTCCTCCGCCGCCTCCTGCCCCTACGTCCCCGCCACTGCCCCGCATTCTCCCCAGGCCGCCTTCCCACGCGGAGTCCTGTCGCGCGCCTCTGCCGCTGCCGTCCTCCGGGCCGGAGTCGAACGAGGAATCGTCGTCCGTGGCGTCGAAAACATTGCACGAGGCGGAGCGAGACAGGTCTTGATCCGTGGTCGACGCCGACCGCGGGAACAGCCCCGCTGCGCCGCTCAGCCGCCCGCTTCTGTTGCCGACGCCACCGCTGAAACGAGTTGCGCCTAAACGAGTTGTCGATTTCCCCGGGAGCAGGGCCTGCTGCTGCGACTGCGAGTGCTGAGACTGCTGCAGCGCTTGCTGCTGCTGCTGCTGCTGCTCTCCCCACACCGATCCCCCCGCGCCCCTTTGACCGCCCAGTCCGGCTTTCCCTCCACCAACGGTCCCTCCCAGTCCGCTTCCGCTTCCGCCCGACCCTCCCCCTCCTGCCGCAGCCTCCGCGCAGAACGCGCGCCCTTTTCCCACCAGATTCATGTTGAACTTGGCGCCTAACTCGTCCCCCGCCGCCAGCGGCGCAACCAGCTGCAGCCAGTCCGCCAGGGGGAGACTATCCACAAGGTGACAGAGCGACAGGTGGTCGAACTCCGCGGAAGAATACCCCAGCGCGAGCTCCGCGCCCGCGCTGGCGCAGCGGATGCGCGCCGTCCACGGGTCCAGGAGGAATTGGATGCAGAGGGATTGGCGGATGAGCACGGGGATGACTCCGCCAGGCGCTAGCCTCACGCCGAGCGCAGCAGCTCCAGCGGATCCTGCTCCTGGAGGGATGTCAGCGCCGACCATCGAAACACCAGGGTTGGCGGTTCCCGCGCCTGCGCCTGCGCCGAAAACCCCTCCGGCGGAACAGCCAAGACCAGCGGAAATTATCCCCACGCTGGCGCCCGCGCCTGCGGTCATATTTGACGGGGGGCAACCCAGGGATATTGCGCGTCCCAGTCCGCCCATGCGCTTAATGGCGGAAGAATTGGGGCGCAGGGGCTGCGGTTGCGCGCGGATGGAGCCGTCGGGGGAAGAAGCGGAACCCTGATAGATTACTTGCAGGCGGGATGGGGGTGGCTGATGGCGCGGCATTGCGAACGATGTGGCGGGTGCGGCGGAGAAGAATAGGGCGGAAGATTCCCGAGGAATTAAGAACAATAAGACCGAGTATGTATGCTAGAAACCCTCAATAATAGCCAAGTATGAATATCGGGACCTTAAGTTATCGTGGTAGGTGAAAACCAAACGGCGGAGGTTAGCTGGCGCGGCGGCTTTTATTCTCCAGGAAAGGCCACGGGTGCCGTTCGGTGAGTTTACACGCCGCATCTTATTCAACCGGCGTGCACACTCCCCGCCATCCTCCTCCGCTCCCTCCAACGACTGAAAAATGGCCAAGCGAAAGTAGCCTGACCAACACTCGTGCTGTGACAGATGCGAGGAGGAAAGAAGCACTGGAGGCTGCGTTGCGACTGCTATCCTACCAAGGAGCTCGTTGTCAGCACCCAGAAAACGGCTTGCCGCTGCGATAAGTTGCGACGGGTTACCAGACAAGGAGGTGTTCGCTGACAGAAGCCACCAGGGAGCCGCGCGAGAAGTCCACCCACTAAGTACTAAGGAGTTAAACTTTAAACTTGAGTGAAGTGACAGACTATCCTGGCGATATGTGGAGCATTCGAGTGATGGAGAACGTAACAATGACTACGTAACGCGGCGCGAGAAAGCGAGTGGAACTACTGAACGCACTGGAGACGCGGATGACAGGCTTTGACGGTGAGTGGACAGCGCGCTGCGAATAAGAAGGCAGAGGAGGCCCAAGGACCACCACACCTGCTGTCAGCAGCGAAACGTAGCATCCCTACGCGCTCATATCTTTAAATATTTACCACTCTATTGAAGCCTCAATGAACTAGCAGCTATGGTACGGAGTGGCGATACCACCACACCCAAGTCTACCCATAACATTTATAAATGTAGGACCTGTTTGGTCCCTCCATTGAGCAGAAAGAGTGGTTGTGGCGTACGGCAGACCTAAGGATGAAGCAATCCCAGTGCTTCGAGACGACGACAACTTCGAGAGGTCCCCATGTTTGACAAGGACGTCCTCGGAAACTCCGCCAGGGGCATCCGGAAAAAAACAGCGCACCTCGGGGTTTGCACAGTTGGTTGGTGTTTCCACTGACGGATTGGCTTTCCACCATTTTCCCGCCTGTTTTTCACGCTAGTCGAGTTTTTCTGCCCGTTCCACCGCCCAATTTCCTCCTGCCAACTGTGTGGTCCTACGCTACGACACTGTACGTACAGTATCGTACTTTTGGTGGTGCAAGTTGTCTAGGATTTCGTTTCGTTTGAAGGAAATTCTGAGCCAACCATACAGTTTCGAAAGGAATGAGATACAAGCTTTCATATTTCTAGAAGGACAAGAACAGTCTCACTTGCTATGGGTTTCCACACTGGCGCTTCAAGAAATAACACCAGCTGTAAGCACACTAGACTATTCACTAAGTGCTACAGACTGACAACAGTAAGATGGTAGATGCATTGAGCCACATTGTTATACAGCAAAAGGTTAATCAAGGCAGGGTAAAAAGCATGGAGCACACCAAACCGCTGCTTTGCTTTGCGTTGCATATTCCTCTGAAACTCCCTACAATAGCCGCTCTTATGCCATGGCATGCACTTTTGTGAATACCAGAAACATCCGGTGCAACTGGCCGAACCGGAACACACACCTGTCCAATCTGGGCTGCCCTCTTTTTGATGGACTGACATACCAGTAAAAGTTATCCAACCACGCCAGACATTCTTAGAGGGGCACCTTCTGACTCAGCAACAGCCATAACTGCAGCAGCCAGCATGGTGCACGCCACTTGATGCCCGCCTGCCCAATCCTCTGCCTGGCAGGCTCGGGAGCAATACCGAGCCTCTCCACATGCCGCACAGCATCTGAACTCCTCTGGCCTGCTCTCCTTCCGCCCACACATTGGGTTAGAGCAGGCCTGCAGAGGGGTGAGCGAGTGCAGATGGGACGAAAAAAGGAAGGAGTGAAATGGGCCTGGCCTGCTTTCTGCAGTGGCCAACTCGTCTGCTGCTTCTGCTGCTGCTGCTTCTGATGCTGCTGCTTCTGATGCTGCTCCTGCTGGTGCTTCCATTGCTGCTCCTGTTGCTGCAGCAACTGGCATTCCTTCTCCAGTCGTTCCTGCAAGGCCCATAAAATCATGCGCGGCAAGCTGAGCTGCTGCGCCGTGCTGAGAATTAGGCAGTGCTAGTGGGCGCACAAGAACATCCAAACCCACCCCTGCACTTCTCTCTCTGCACAAGTCACCACACTCCTCCAGGTGCGCTGCACCGCTGCTGCTCTCACCCATTCGCATGGCACCACCACCACCATCACGGGCTGCAACGCCCCAATGCACAGGCCCATCGGCCATCATCCCAGCACACCTGTCCGCACCAGCAGCAGCAGCCGCCGCCGCAGCAGCAGCATGCCAGTCCACGAGGAAGCGGTGAGTGGGGTCTGTGGGACATCTCTCCTCTGCCACCTGCAGTTCCAGAAGCTCACTGGGCGTAGGCGACCCCATTACCCCCCACTCCTCCCCTCTCATCCAACCCTCCTCCTCCATCCCCTCCCCATCCACTTCGTCCACCTCCCGCACCTGCCTTTCCTTCTCCAGATCTTTGGCCCCGGTGAAGGAAACCATGGGACACACTCTCCCGTGCTCCACCGCCATGCTCCCTTCCCTTGCATCCCCGACACGAGAGCCGATGGGAGCAACGCCGCTGCTGCGCAGTTCCACGGCACCGCCCAGCCTGCCACCGCCCACGGAGGGCCAGTGCTTGGGTTCAAGCGAGGAGCCGGCGTGAGCCAGTGCTCTTGAGCCCTTTGCCGGCTCTGCCTGCACGAGCATGAGTGCTTCAGGGCCCTCCGCGCCGGCAATCTCGGACAGCAGCACGCGCGTCGCCGTTGACGTTGCTACTGGGCCCGCCGCTGATGCTGATGCTGGTGCGAAAGCCGCAGATCCGTACACTGATGTCGACTTTACAGCCGCACCAGCAGCACCAGCAGCAGCGGTTGCTGTCACTGCTGCTGCTACCGCTGCTGCTGCTACCCTTTGAGAGGCTTCCAGGAGGTTGGCCTGGGCCAGCAGGTGGTGTGCGGTGAGCGGATCTTGTGGCACGCCGCAGCCGTCTTGCAGGCAGTGCGCCAGCTCGCGTAGAGCAGGCACGTAGCACGCCGAGGCTGCTCGCATGCACAACTGCACTGCAGTGGGAAGATCACTGGACGGAAGGGAAGCGGGGAGGGTGGGGGAAGAAGGGAGGCGCAGGGGACAGAGAAAAGAAAACGAGAGAGAGGAGGAGAGGTGTGAGGCTTGGACCACGTGGATGGAGGCAGGGGAGGGACGGGTGGTGAAGGATTGCATGTGGACATGGCATGGCATGGCATGGCATGGCACAGTTTGGGGGCAGCAGCATGCGAGGCCGTACCGAGGGCGCGTGGCGAGCGGTCCACTGGCGTTGAAGTGCATGACTGCGAGGGAGTAGAGCGCCGGTGCATGGCCCGCCATGGCTGCCCGCGCCAGTAGCCGCATGCCTTGCTCGTGCAGGTCGAGACAGTAGAAGGACACCTGGTGGGGGGAGAGAGGAAGAGAAAAGGTGTTGCACGGGCAAAAAGGAGAGGTGTTGGACTAATGGTGCAAGGAAATGCGAGGGATGAGGAGCAGGCGCAGCAGAAGATAGCACAGGAGAAGAGAAAGGAAGAGAAGAGAGGAGACGAGAAGAGAAGAGAAGGGAAGAGAAGAGAAGAGAAGAGAAGAGAAGAGAAGAGAAGAGAAGAGAAGAGAAGGGAAGGGAAGGGAAGGGAAGGGAAGGGAAGAGAAGAGAAGAGAAGAGAAGAGAAGAGAAGAGAAGAGAAGAGAAAATAGCCGATCGTTGTGAGGCTGTGAGGCTGTGAGGAGAGCTCACCATGCCGAGGAAGTGGCTGGCGGGGGCGTTGCCTGCCTCGCAGCACTCCCGCAAGAACTGGTGCGCGTGCGGGCACCACTGCCGCAGCCTCACTTCCACCGCCGCAGAACTCGCCGCGGCCAGCGTTGCGGGGGCGTGCGCCGTTGCGCGCATGGTGCGACAGCTGCAAGAAGAGGGGCGGAGGAAGAGGGGGGAGGGGAAGGCGTCAGGGAAGAGACGAAGCAGTAGGACCGAAGGAGACTCTCAAAGGGGAGAGGAGCAGTACCAAAAGAAAGCGGGAGTACGAGGAAAGAGCAGTAACATACGCACCTCAGTCGCACATTTGCGATGTCGGCGGGGCAACTGGCCGACGCTGCGACTCGAGCGACGATGGAGGATAGCAGCTCGCCCTGCGCGACAGGGGATGGGCGACGATCATGGTGGGACCAGAAGAGGCGGGCGGACAGGGAAACAGGAGGAAAAAAATACAGTCAGCCCGGTATCCGCGCAGCAACGTTGAACTTGACGCAGCCGCAGCAGCAGCAGCCTCACCAGTGTGCGGTCTAGAGATGATTTACTAGCTTTGAGAGCTGCATACTAGCACAAATTCCACGGGTCCTTCGATAGAGATATGAGTCCTTTGTCGGACGAAGCCGCGAGAACATACCGGAAGGTGCAGAAGCCGGCACTGCGGGTCGGCCGTCTCTTGCGGCGCGTGTGACGGAAATTCGACACCTGGGTGCTCTTCTCCACGCATCCGAACGTCCGCCTCGATATTCAGGATGCTGGCCGACAGAATCCCGTCGCCAACCATTGAAGCATGATCGTCAGTACTACTACTCAAGCACGTGCGACGCCGTTTCGATGCCAGACGATCCAGAGATACCGGGACCATCGCCGGTGCCTCCGCAGGCGCGGAGCGGTGAGATGAAGAGGGACGGACGAGATTGCTGCTTGTAAGGAGTGACGACCAGCGGAACTCGAGAATGGCGTCGCGGGATGGAGAATTGATGCCGCCTTGGGCCATGGAGACTGCTAGAGGAGCCAGCTTTGAAGAGGACACGACTTGGTTCGTTGAGTCTTGATCACCAGACTTCACTATTATCTCTTATGTTCGCCGACGCAAAGGACTCAAAACTTGGGGCCACGCACAATCTCACGTTGTGAGCAGATTGCGAAGAACCAATACAGGCACTGAGATGAACTAGAGGCTGGGAACAAAAGTAGGAGTTGCGGTGAAGAAACCCTGCGAATTGTGCGGATGAGTGGATGCAGTTTGGTATTGGTGGGGGGGAGGAAGGGCGATGGGGCCAGAGTGGAGTGAAGTGTCTTCACTCGTTTGTGTGGTGTGGTGTGCTGCAGATTGTGATGAACAAATGAGGGAGGTGATGAGGTGAGATACGACAAGTGAAAGGCGCATGGTTCTGGTGAGTGTGAGGACGAGGGGGGAGTTGGGCGATGGGGGATAGGGAGCCGAGCATGCAGGGAGAGAGGAGGGGGTGGTGTGCGGGTGGTGGGGGCGGGGGGGCAGGCTAGACCAAGTCAGTCCATGCCAAGACAAGCCAGCCCAGGTCAAGACAAGCGAGGCGAAGGATGTGCGACTGCAACGCTGGCGATGGTGCGGTGGTGACTTCGATGTTGCAGCAAGGTGGGGCAGATTTCCAACAGATGGCACTCAATTCGGTTGAGATGGGATTCGGCCAGTGCAATGCCAACGAACCGAAGCGCTAACGCGGAATGAGCAGATCGACTGCATCACTGTTGTTTAACACAGTTCTCAGGGGAGCAGTTAGGGTTTTTTATTACTGTACGGGAGCACAGCAAACAAACAAATCGATCAAACGATGTCTTACAGAACCTCTCATTTACAGAAACAACTGTGAAAGAAGGATGCAAGCACTTGAAGCACGCGCACGCCTTCCCTCTAAATGCTATGATTGCTATTACAGCTCTCAGTAGGCACAAGATACACGTACACGGATGAAAGTGGGCCAGGGAGAAGGGCGTGTTTCCCTACTGACTCACTCTACAGAGACTGTCTCGTCACTTGTGCACCTCTACCATTTTCCCTCTGACACTTTTGTCATGATTAAAACTGGTTCTCCCCATGCCAGCGCTTCGCGCGTGCATGAGATCCAACAAGTATCACTCACGATGTTTGTCAAGTATGTTTTGATTCCAGTTTTCCCTACGGGTTTGAAGGACCTCACAGCAACACGCCATTTGCTCTAACGATACATTAAGTGTTTGTATCACCCTGGTTCAGCATTCTGGCTCCGTGTTTTTTATAGGCCCGTCACCAACAAAAGTGCTAGACCATCTAGTGCAAGCTGGATGGTCGCAAAACAAACACTGTACTGAAATATACTCGGGCAGTTTCTAGACCATCCAGTTCAAGCTGAACACTACAGTACTTGCTCTTGCATAGTCTTCCTCTCCTTCTCTGCCATGCAGGTGGCCAGGCCAGCAAGTCGTGCACCCAATCGTATAATCGAATCCTAACAGTGATTACGTGCAAATCCTGGATTCCTTGCTGCAGGCTTCCACAAATCGCGAGAATGAAAAAAGATTCGCAGCGAACATTCTTGCACCCGTGCTGCATTTGATGCGATTGCCACAAATGGAGACAAAGGGCACCGCAATACGATCCAGCCACCTGAACGGGGATTTATTGCGCGACAACCTGAATGATTCGATCAAACAAGCAGCTCAATAGTTATATAACAATCTTGTTTATCCCTTCAACACATAATACATTTGAATAGCAGGTGACCATAGATTTTTGTTACCACTACTTCCCAGCCACATGTTTTTCCCTTAGATGGGAGAAACATGGGAAACCAACAGCACCCAAATTTGAGTTGCAAGACTGACTGTTACCAGGGTTTTGGGTAGGGAATAAAACAGGCCCACCAAAACACGTCCTCCCCTCCCATTGGAGCCCCCTGGAATCAGGCCAGGCTGATCCATCAGCGTTAGCACATAAAAAAAACGCTGATCATCAGCATTACATAAAAAACGCTGGAAATTCAGAGTGTGAGGATTTGTTACCACAGAAGTACAAATCTTTTCTATTACCGGTATGGAACATGGTTCATGGTTTGGAGGGAGTGGCGAGCTAAACAGGGGGCGAGAGAAGTGAGTGGGTGCGAGAGAGGCGGGTGAGCTGTGGGGAGGGGCTGGAAAGGAAGGCAGGCAGGGGGGAGGGGTGGGAGAAGCGGGTGGGCAGGGGGGCACACGCGGGCTAGAGGAGGTGGAGAAGCGAGGTGTAGGCTCTGTTCGGCAGGCACATGCCTTGGGAGGGAGGTGGGGGGGCGAGAGTGAATGACGAGGGTTCCGGAGCAGTTTCCCTGTCGAAATCACCCCCAACCCGCTACAGCCGAAAGCGGGAAAGTTTGACAGGAAGGGCGGAAGGTGCCGACGGTAAATGACGCATTTACATGCTCAACTTCGCGCCCACAAGCAAGGGGTACATCGAATCGAACAAACCTACATAGGAGGGTAAAATTTGCATGCAGGGGGATCAGCTGTGGAAAAAGGGTGACGGAGAGAGAAGTGTGAGAGGCTGGCTAGGATTTTATGTTTGAGCAAGATGGTTGGGCGTTTTTTTCATCGAACGGGTTGTGCATCTCTGGTTGGGACTAGCGCAACATCCGTGCATGTCTTTCTAGGGTATAAGATGGGTGTCCCCACCCCACCCCCTCTACTGTCAGATTTATATGACATAGCTACTGTAGGCTATAGTGGGGTAGCACATATGGGGTACAGTTTTCTAGGGTTTACATTTGTACCCAACTTTCCCTTAGTCATTCATCCTCGTTCTATTCTAGATTCTAACATGGTATCACGAGCCTAGGTTGCTACCTAGGACCGCTTTCTACTATGGGCCCACTATTCCGAGCGCCCTCGTGCGCCCTACCTTACGTGCGCCCTCGTGCGCCTTTCTCTGCTAGTGCGCCTTCGTGCGCCCTCGTGCGCCTTCGTGCGCCCTCGTACGCCCTCGTGCGCCCTCGTGCACCCTCGTGCGCCCTCGTGCGCCCTCGTGCGCCCTCGAACGCCCTCGTGCGCCCTCGAGCCGCCCCTGCAGGTCCGTCAGGCCCCCGAGCCGCCTCTGCAGACCCGTCAGCCCCCCCCGAGCCGCCTCTGCAGGCCCGTCAGGCCCGACAGCCGCCCCTGCAGACTCGTCAGGCCCGCGCGCAGCCTCTGCCCGACCGCGCGCCGCCCCTACAGGCTCTCGCCGCCCGCCGAGTCGTCCTGCCCGCGGCGTCGTCACCTGCCCGCAACGTAGCCCCTGCCCGCGGCGTTGTCGCCTGCCCGCGGCGTCGTCGCCTGCCTGCGGCGTCGTCGCCTGCCCGCGACGTCGTCGCCTGCCCGCGGCGTCGTCGCCTACCCGCGGCGTCGTCGCCTGCCCGCGGCGTCGTCACCTGCTCGCCGCGTCGCCCTGCCCGCGGCGTCGCCACCTGCTCGCGGCGTCGCCCTGCTCGCGGCGTCGTCACCTGCTCGCCGCGTCGCCCTGCCCGCCGCGTCGCCCTGCTCGCGGCGTCGTCACCTGCTCGCCGTGTCGCCCTGCCCGCGGCGTCGTCACCTGCCCGCCGCGTCGCCCTGCCCGCGGCGTCGCCACCTGCCCGCCGCGTCGCCCTGCTCGCCGCGTCGCCCTGACCTAATCCGCGCCTGGCCTCTGGAGCAGCCGCCTCTGCAGCAGCCGCCCCTGGCCACTGGAGCAGCCGCCACTGCAGGAGCCGCCCCTCGCCCCTGGAGCAGCCGCCCCTGCAGCAGCCGTCCCTGGCCCCTGGAGCAACCACCGCTGCAGCAGCCGCCCCTGGCCCCTGGAGCAGCCGCCACTGCAGCAGCCGCCCCTGGCACCTGGAGCAGCTGCCGTCGCGGCCCGGCCTCACCCTGCAGCAGCTGCCGCGGAGCTCCCTGCTGCGGCCCGGCCCCGCCCTGCAGTTGTAGCGGCCCCGCTGTCGCCACCGTCTTGCGCCTGCCGCGCCGACCACTGGTGAGCATTGCCCTGCCAGCACTGCTACCGCTGCTACTGCTGCTACTGCCTTTTCTACTCCCACTGCTACTGCTCCTGCTGTTACTGCTGTTACTGCCGCTACTACTGCTACTGCTACTCCTGGAGTGGCCAGATGCAGCTCCAGGGCCGTGCGCGTGAGTCCCTCACGCCCCAGCAGCTTCGTGAGTGGTACGCTAGTTGGGGCTGTCGGGGTGGCCGTAGTGGTAGTCGCTCTGGAGTGGGTCGGTCGGGAGCTTCTGGTAGTGGACAGGTGCAGCTGCCGTGTCCTCTTTCGCCCCAGCAGCTTCGTGCGTGGTACGCTAGTTGGGGCTGTCGGGGTGGCCATAGTGGTAGTCGCTCTGGAGTGGGTCGGTTGGGAGCTTCTGGTAGTGGACAGGTGCAGCTGCCGTGTCCTCTTTCGCCCCAGCAGCTTCGTGAGTGGTACGCCAGTTGGGGCTGTCGGGGTGGCCGTAGTGGCAGTCGCTCTGGAGTGCGTCGTTCGGGAGCTTCTGGTAGTGGACAGGTGCAGCTGCCGTGTCCTGTGAGTGAGGCTGCCGCTCTAGGTGCTCGTGCGTCTGTTGCCCTAGGTGCTGGTGAGGCTACCACTCCCGGTACTCGCGTGTCTGCTACCCCAGGTGCTGGTGAGGCTGCTGCTCTAGGTGCTCGTGTGTCTGCTCCCTCAGGTGCTGGTGAGTCTGCTCTCTCAGGTACTGCGTCGGCTTCGGCCTCCCACACCTTCACCCTTGACTCGGGGGCTTCTCGCTCCTTCT